TTTTTGAAAAATTTTTAACCAAAATATTTTTTTAAGTATTTTTTTTCTACATTTTCGTAATTTTGGACAGAAAGAAAAAAAAAATTGTCACTTTTATTTTGATAAAAGATTTTTTTTTCCCCTTCACGAGAAAGTTGAAAAGAAATTGTGACTTAAAGAAGGTGGAAGATAACAAGTATAAGGGTTAGTGTTTGTGTCATCTATTTGTGTTGTATGATGCCAATTACTTGTCTTTATGAGCCGTATCGAATATCGTCTCCTACAAGCTCACCTTATACCCACGTGACCTGAACGACGCCATTGGAGACATTTCTCTTTCGTCAAGGCTAATTTCCCTTCTTGTTAATTAGAGAAATAAGCCAGTTCCTAAAGGATTAGAGTTGGAAGGGGTCTTGAAAAGCACATCTAATGACAAGCTTATATATATATATATATATGTTTTGGACAATTTCAAACTAATCATCTCTTATCGAAAAAAAAATTTCCCCAATAAAAATTGTTTATTTTAGCTCATAATTCCGTGGAACGTCGAATGTAGGATCAGAATTTCTTTAACGAATCACCTAAAATTTATTCTAATTCTGATTCAAGGAATAAAAAAATTTAATTAAAAATTCTCCTTTTTTACAATCAAAAAACTGGTTTGAATATATTTTTAAAAATAATTTTTTTATACAATAAACAAGTTATATGATAGATATTTTTATTTTTTGTATACAGAACTAAATAAATTAATTAATAAAGTGAAGAGATAATTTGAGAGGAAATTATGTTTTATTTTAGAATTTGAATTTGCCGCGTATTTCTCTGTAGGTAAAGTAGTAGAAACCGACAGTGAGAAATCTCTCTCACAAGCGAGTTGAAGACTAAAAAGTATATAAAGCGTGACGAAGTATTACAAAAAAGAATATCAAAAAATAATCAATAATAAAAATCTAGTACACTGAAAAAAAAATTTATTTGATTCAAATAATCGATAACTTAACTTTTATTAAATAATTTTTTTACCATTATTTTCCAAGTCTAGAAAAACCTTCTTTTTATTCTTAAATCTATTAACTGGACCTCGAGCCTTTTTTTTAATAATAATTTAATTTCCAGTTTACAAAATAAAATTCTTTTTTTATTCGCTTAAAACTACTATTTTTCATACAATTAGTAAAAATTCTCATTTAAAGTTTAGCAAAAAAAAAAATTAATAAATTTTAAAAAAAACCTTACGACGACTTTATATCGAAGTATATTGTATAAATCATAAATTTTTGAACAAAATTCATTAATCGTTTTCAGTCACAGACGAACGTTTATATATATCAAGTTTGCATTGAAAACTTTGCAAAATCATAGAAAAACTTTTCTATCTCGTTAAAACATCAACTTTTCTTATAAATTAACGATCAGACCAATTATCAAGCTAAAAGGGGTTTTTAGCTTCAAGAAATTTCAACTTTCCCCTAATTTTCCCACTATGCTGCATTTCAAGGTTTTACTTTACTTAAGTCCAAAAAAAAAAAATTAAGAAAAAACTAATTAAACTCCATTCTTTACACTTCGATTACGATTCCATTTGCTAAGATCAGCAATTTTAAACTGTTTTTTTTTAAAAGGAATTTTGTAAAATTTTCTCCTCGAAACAAATTTTATCCAAATCATTTGATTCACATAAGGGATGTATTAAGAAATTCTAAAAATTTTTAGTTAGAATTTTGTATCGACAAAAATTTTGCTTTTAGCCGAATTTTTATTTTTTCAAATTTTTATTTCTCCGAATTTTCATTTGTCAAAATTATTATTTGTTCAAAATCGGTTCAATGAAAATTATCAATTGTGTCAAAAAATAATTCGAATAAATGAAAATTCTATATTATGAAATTCTATTAGAAATTATTCATGCGTTACTAAATTAAATGTGTGTGAGAAAATTATATTAATCGGAATTAGAAAAAAAAAAAAAAAAATTGCAAAATTATGTCGAGTCAAATTCAAACTTTATACATATATAGAAAATACGATTTGGATGCGCATCGACGCAAAATCCACAGTTATACCAAATGGGAATGAGAAAACGGATTGGTTCCGGCAAATTACTGCGGGAAACGCAGAATCCGATCACACGACGATGTAACTTCCCCAATGGGAATTTCAAAATGAATTTCTTTTAATTAAGCGATCCTGAAAAGAAGATTAACACAGCTGTACTATACCCCCAACCCCCCCTCCCCACCCCCTTCCATCCCTCTTAATCATAGAAATTGTATCGCGAGCTGCGTATTCACACTCAGCAAAAAAGGAAATACCGACACATTTAAGCCTTGAATTTAATTCCATTCCCTATTAATTTTTCCCCAAAAAAAAAAAATTTCAAAAAAATTTTTTCTCAAATATTTTAAATTATAATTTAAACTTTAACTGGAATCAAATTTTTTTCAATAGATTTTTATTATTAATTATTTTTTGATATTGTTTTTTGAATATTTCGTCCCGCTTTATATACTTTTTAGTCTACAACTCGCTTGTGAGAGAGATTTCACTCTGTCGGCCGCTATTTGAAACTACTACTTTACCTACAGAGAAATACGCGGCAAATTCAAAAATAAAACATAATTTCCTCTAAATTTTTTTTTTATTACAAAATTATTTATTTTATTTTTTTATTTATAATATTTCTCTGAATATAATTTGAAATAATATAATTACAGTCACCATCCTTCTCAAAATGAAATTTTGATAATTTTTAAAATAATTCAAATTTTTTCTTTCTGAATGTTAAATGAATTATAGTTGATTCAATAACATTCAGGTGAATTCACATTCCTTAAAGTGGTCTCTTTTATATAGGGAATTCATCATTTGGACGTAACCTTCCCCCCCCCACCACTCCTCATTCTATTCGCCCTTTTCACCAGGGATTATATTACAAGGATTCCGACGCAAACTTATACGTTCTACCCTACTTGTTATGGGGTCTCGTTTCCCGTATATAGTTGACCCGTTAACACTCGAGCATTTACGAGCATCCTTCCAACCGCGTTTAACATTTCATACCCCCTTCATATAGAGCAACTTTTATACTACAAAAAAAAAAAAGAAGAAAAATTTCTTCACAGTCGAAATTTCTTTTTAGTTCGATCGAAAAAATTTTCCAATACTCCTTTCGCGAAGTACGTTTGTTACGTTATTACATCATAAAATGAGCTCATAATAAAAAGATTTTTTTTTATGTTACGCCTCATATTTTTTCAACAGGTACAACTACAGATTGAACTTTATGAAGCTTTTATTTTTCGATTTTTTTCTTTTTTGTCTGAGTGGTATTTTAGAGGATTTATACTTGACCACAGATTTTTTTTTACGATGATGGAATTCATCAAGAAAATAATCTATAATACTTTTATTTTTTAGTTTTAATGTCAAAAAACAAATTTATTAAAATTACTAAAAATTATATTAAACTTGGTAAATATTTACTAAAATTTTAGATATTTAAATATAGTATAGCAATAAATACTAATTTTTTAGTAAATTTAATTTATTTATTTTTTATTGATAAATAAAATAAAAAATTATAAAAAAATTATTTCAATTATTTACTAGTCATAACAGTTATTTGAACTGCAAATATTAATTTTAACTAAATGAAATTGACTATTTCAATTTAATACTACACTGAAAGAAATATTTACTTGATTCAAATAATCGGTTACTTGAGTATTATCAAAATAAAAAATTTATTTCTATAAAATAATTTTTTATTTGAATTAAATAAACTGTATTTAAACCAATAATTTTAGTATTTGAAACAAATAAAATTTGACTCGAAAATTACTTAGTTCAATGTTAATAATGGGGAAAAAAATTTATTTGATTATAGTCAAGTAATTGATTATTTGAATCAAATAAATTTTTTTTCAATAGATTTTTACTGTTGATTATTTTTTGATATTGTTTTTATCAATATTTCGTCACGCTTTATATACTTTCTAATCTTCAACTCACTTGTGAGAGAGATTTCACTCTGTCGCGTCTATTTGAAACTACTACTTTACCGACAGAGAAATACGCGGCAAATTCAAAAATAAAATATAATCTCAAATTATCATTTCACTTTATCAATTAATTTATTTAGTTTTGTATAAAAAAAATTGTTTAGAAAAAAATTGTTAAATGTTTTAAAATAGTAATAGTACTGTATTTATTGTAATTTATATTAGAACCTCAACATATGAAGCTTCTGAATACAGGGAACAAGCATTCTCCTGAGTATACTCAGGATTAGGTGATTACGTTATCACTTCAATAACTAATAATAAGCTCTGTGTAATGCAGAGTAGTTGGCTGGATAGGCATGAACACTTCATATCCGATATAAGTTAAGCAGTTTCGTGAATGTTTAGTGTTAGATCAGAGTATGAAGATAAGCTTCAACTTTCATATTATAACCATCAGTATTTATTTTCCCTATAATAATATATTTATACTTTATCAACTTAATTTACTCTCTAAATAGAAATTAAAATTTAAAATAACGAAAGTAATGAAAATAATAAAAATGATAAAAAAATAATTCTAATAAATATAATAAAAAATAATAATAATAATAATAAAAATAAAGCCATTAGGCCAAACAAAAGTATTAACATCATTTACCTATTAAAAATAATAAAAAAAATAATAATAATAGTAATAAGAATAGTAGTCATGCTTTATATACTTTTTAGTCTTCAACTCGCTTGTGAGAGATATTTCACTCTGTCGGCTTCTATTTAAAACTATATTCTACTTTACCTACAGAGAAATATGCGGCAAATTCAAAAATAAAACATAATTTCCTCTCAAATTCACTTTATCAATTAATTTATTTTGTTTTTTTTTATATAGAATGTTTAAATAATAAAATAATAAAAATAATAAGTTAAATTAAATTTTTTTGCTCTATCTTCAATATCTTCATTTTTTCATTAAATTTTTTTAAAAAAAACTTTTTTTCCTCTTAATTTCAGTTCCAGAAGAAACTCTTAACGTGAATGGCCAAGAACAAGTAACAGAAGAACAGATGGAATACAATGGTAAGTTTGATTTTTACACTCGAGCGCTACAAATGGATTAAATCTAAAAACTTCTTAATTAATCGCCATTGTCTTACCATCGCAGATGAAGAGGAAGAAGACGATGAAGAAGAAGAGGAAGAAAGAGAAGAACGCACTTGTGTGGAAACTGATTTCGTTTTTATAGATTTCGTTCGCAGGTGAATTTTTCTTTTCTACTAATAATAATTATTCAATTAATTCTCAAATCCACTTTACACAAAAAATAATGAAATTTAATTAAAACTTATTAAAATAAAAAAAAGAACAAAAAAAAAAACGAGACGCATGAATAATAACTAAAAAATTTTATTTCATAAAATTTCTATTTGTTCGAATTTTAATTTTTCATGAATTTTAATTTTTCAGAATTTTTATTATTCACAATTTTTTCTATATATGGTATATATTTTCTTTTATATGGTGAAATTCAATTTCGTCTATGGAAACTATTTTTCCCTAGATGCAGGAAAATCGTTTTATATATACAGTGAAGATTACAATGACTTGCAGGTTCGCAAATATGAAAGTGGTTAAAGCAATGGCAATTCTTCTACAAGGATTCGAGACAAATTCAATCGAAGTGAATCACTACATTGTCAAAATGTTGCATCGCATCGCCTGGGATTGTAAAATGAGTGCAATGATATTTCAGGCATCGATTTTTAGGATTTTTCAAAAAATCCTTAATTCCAAAACATCACAGCACAAGGTAAAAAAAAAAATTTGGAAATCTACGAATTTTTGTCTCTTTAAATCTGAATTTTTGGTTTTTACTAAAATCATAAATAATGAGCAAAAAAAAAAAATTGGAATTTTTTTTACTTCTAAATAAAATCAAATTATTGTCAGATTAAAACGGATTTCTCTAATTCCGAAAAAAAATTCTTTGATTCAAATAATCGATTACTTAGCAAATAAATATTTATTCGAAGCAAATAATCCGTTAATTATTAAATAAATATTTATTTGGAGCAAATAATCGGTTACTTATCAAGTAAATATTTATTTAGAACAAAGAATTTTTATTTAAATCAAATAAACTGTAATCGAATCAATAATTTCTCTACTTGAAATAAATTCAATTTAATTGACTTAATAATTATTTGATAAAAATAAATATTTATTTGATAATATATTCAGGTGAACCAATTAATTGAATCAAATAAATTTTTTTTTCAAGAGATTTTTACTGTTGATTATTTTTTGATATTGTTTTTATCAATATTTCGTCACACTTTATATACTTTTTAGTTTACAACTCGCTTGTGAGAGAGATTTCACTCTGTCGGCCTCTATTTGAAACTACTACTTTACCGACACAGAAATACGCGGCAAATTCAAAAATAAAATTAATCAATATGAATATTAAACTATAATTCCTGTGAGATAAGTTAATTATAATATATTAATTAATATTTTAATTAATATTAATATTAAATTATAATTCTATTCTATAACTATAAATCCAATTTCAGTTCGAAAAATAAAAAATCTGATTTTTTTATATATATATATATATTTTTTTTTTGTAGAATGTTAAAAAAGTTTTTGCGAACTCTTGAGTTTGCTGTCAATGATAGATTTTTAAGAAAAGTCTCACGCAGAAATATATATATATATATATATATATATATATTTTGGAAGAAGCTTAAGTCGAATGGTGATGTTTCAGGAGCTGCAAAAGTTTGCCATCTTTATAATTCGCCGTTTCACGGAGACCGCACAAAAGAATCATAAAGCGTACATGGAATTGCTGTTCTGGAAAACGACCCTCCAAGCAAACGAAATGGTTGAGGGCTACGACACAGAACCAGCAAACAAGAAAGTTTCTCGCGCCGTCTGGTCCGAAGAAGAAGAAGACGAACTACGCACCTTATTCATGGAGCATCAAACTAACAAGTATCCTCAAGGTATCGTTGTTCCATCGACTTTCCACCAACAGAAAAGTCGCCTTCGACTAACAAGAAAAGAATCGTCTCCTTCCCCATACACAGAGTAACTTTTCTTACAAAACTAATTTCTTATTGGATTCCGTATTTTTTTTTCTTCTCCATTCTCTTTGACATTTTTCCAATTTTACGCCTTTAATAACAAATATTTAATATGGCTTATTGCTTATTCTTCTATTAGAATTTGATTTTCATATTTTTCGAATTCATCATCGAAAACTGTAATTTTTTTGTTACAAAAAAAAAAAAAATTGAATATTATTTTAAAAATGATTTTTATGCTGAAATTAGTGGAAGTTTTAGTAAATATTTTGCAATTTAGAATATACGTTTCAAAATATTTTTTAAAAATGATATCCCATAAAAATCATTAATTAGAATTTTCATTGAAAATTTTATTAGATATAATTATTTGTTAGACGAATTTTTTCATTTTTCCAATTAGCATTTCACAGAATTTCTTTGTAAACAAATTTTTACTTAACAAAATTTTTAAGTAGGAAATTTTTATTTAACCGAATTTCTCTTTAAACAATATTTTATTTAAAATAATTTTACTTTAGCCGAATTTCAATTTGTCAGAATTCTCATTTAATCGAATTTTATGTGATTTGAATTTTGAAATGACAGAATTTCCAATTCGTCGAATTCCGAATTTGTCCTTAATTACAAATGAACGAATTAACAATTGACAGAAAAATTTCGAAACGATTTTAAAAATTTACCAATTTTCAATTTCGGATAAATGAAAATTTGTCGTTTTAAGAATTCTATCAATTAATAAATTCGTACAAATAAAAATCCGTATAAATAAAAATTCTCATAAATAAAATTTCGTACAAATAAAAATTCGTACAAAAAAATTCGAACAAATTCAAATTCAATGAATTGAAAATTCTGCCATTTTAAAATTCGAATCGCATAAAATTCTTATAAATAAAAATTCGGACAAATTGAAATTCGTACAAATAAAAATTCGAACAAATTGAAATTCGACGAATTGAAAATTCTGCTATTGGAAAATTCTAATCGCATAAATTTCGTATAAATAAAAATTTGTACAAATAAAAACTCGAAAAAAAATATTCGAACAAATAAAAATTCGAACAAATTGAAATTTGACGAATTGAAAATTATAAATTCGAATCGCTTAAAATTCATACAGATAAAAATTCGGACATTCGACGAATTGGAAATTCTGTCACTTAAAAATTCGAATCGCATTAAATTCGATTAAATCAAAATTTTTTTCAATAAAAAGTTGTGTAAAAAGAGAAATTCTATAAAATGAAAATTCGGATAAATACAAATTTGCTATCTAAAAATTTTGTTAAGTAAAAAAATTCATTTAAAAATTTGAAATTCTCTCAAAAGCTAATTAGAAAACGGAAAATTTTTCTAAAAAATAATTATATTTAATTAAATTCTAAATAATGATTTTTAATGGATAATCCAGATTATTATATCTTCTCTTTCAATTTTTTTTAATTGATTTTATAATTTATTTTTTTTATATTAATAAATTTAATACTCATTAAATTATATTTATTCATAAATTTGATAATTGAAATAGATTTAAGAAATACTTGAAAAAATTTCAAACATTCTAGTTTATCCTTTACTGTTAAACTTAAAACAACTATTCTCTAAAGTTTTTGCCAAGGATTTTCATAAACTTTATCAGAATATTTTAAACTCTACTGAAAAGTTTTAGTTTTTTTTTCTCTTCTATTTGTTCAAAATCTTTGATATTTTTTTAACTTACAAAAAGTTTCCTTAAAACAAAATATTTTTTTAAATCTTCAAAAAAATAACAAACGAAAATTGATTATAATATTATTTAATTTAAGAAAAACCATTAAAATAACATTGAAAAAGAAAAAATAGTTTCCCCAATGTTTGGAAAATTTGGTAATATATATTCACCCCATGACAATAAGCAATCAATCGGAAAAGTTCCCTTGGGATGTTATTATACGGTGGTAAAGTATGAAATAATGAGACTATTTACAAACTTCTCCGAAACTATATATATATATATATATTTATATCTCATGAGACTTAAATCTAATTCTTCAATTTACAGATTTAATCGATTGGCTTTTGGAGAATTTGATCAATAAGGATAGAACGAGTCGAGGAGTGATGAAAAAATTGAGGGAAATGTGTCTCATCGTTAATTCAAAGGTATTTTAATATCTCCAGAGAGAGAGAGAGAGAAAAAAATTTGTTCTTTTTTCACCCCTCTGTTTGTTCAAAACTAGATTGGAACCTGAAACACATAGTCAGAATTGTTTTACATATTGCATTTTTCTCTTGGCTTGTTCTGAACCAAATTCCGATTTCCATTCTTTTTGGAATAACCTTTTTTTTTCTCCCTGGTTTTTTTTTTTTTTTTTTTTTACACCGCACCATTCACGTGATCCTGGTTTTCCCTCAACGCTGTGACACGTTCGAATGATTTATGAGAATCGTCGCCAGCCTGGCCTCAAATACGTTTTAAGACTGTCCTTTTTTTTTTTTTTGCAACGAGTGAACCATATGCGAAAAAACAGAATTGAGTCCCCCTCTAGGATTTGTCGACGAAATTTATGTCTCCGCTATGCATGGATTATTTTTCGTTGCAAAACTTGAGACACATTCTTCATCGCAATTCCACAGGGAGTTACGTCTTCAAGACTTTATATATTTACAGAATTGGATTTTATGGAAAAAAAGGAAAACTGTTCTTTTTCTTTTGATTTTAGGCAGTGAGAAATGAAATTCAAAAGAGACTACCAAAAGAATGGTCTGAGGAGGAAGTGGCTCAATTGACAGAAATCTGGGAACATGTCAGAGAACAAGATGGTATTTATTTTAATTTCAAAAAAAAATTTTTCAAGAAAAAATATATTAATAAAAGAATTTAAAAAGAAAAAAATTTTATATTAGTTTCTTTCTTGCTAAAGAATATTTTTTTATATAAAAAAAAAGGATGATTTAAAAAGAAAATATTTCTCGCAAGATCCTGTGGACCTTATTTATGATGAATTGCGGATCAAGCGACCCAAATCAAAGATCAAAGAGAAACTTCTCGAGCTGGGATTGGCGAAGGATCGAAAGGAGCTGCGTAAAAAACGCACCAAGAAAAGTAACGCAGGTTCGTCTTTTTTTTTTTTTTTGTTTGATTTAGACCTCAAATCGTTTCTGCCAATTCTCCCAACTCCATATATCTTCCTTATACTCTCATTCCTCGATTTGAGTTCAATCTGTTCGGTTATAACCCTATTGACTGAAGGATTTTACACCACTGACCTCTGTCTACTTTCTTGGTGATATATTTGAAATTACATCCTGAAAAGTTGAACCTTGAAGAGATAACTTCCGTTTCATTTTATTTCAAAAATCCATTATATTCCGTTTTCTTCTTTTTTACAAAATATCCATTATGTTCCCACTTTTTTTTTTTTTTTTTTTTTTTGTTTTGTTTTTATAAATATCCATTTTAGTTTCTTTCTCTCTTTTAAAATCTTTTCAGTTCCTTTTGTTTTAAAATCTTGTACTTCAATAATTGTCATAAAAAAATTTTATTTAAAATTGTAATGAAAAAAATAATTTTCTACCGGTTTTTTCGATTATTTTAATTTTAGAATATTCTTAAACATTTTCGAAAATTTCTTATACAATTTTTCTAAAAAATTGATTCTTGAATCTATTAATATTTTTTCTAATTTTCTAATGATTTTTTTTATATTTTAATATGGGCGGAAATTTTTTGAAATTCAAAGCACAAATTATTTTTTATTTTGTACATGGAAAAAAATCTTTTGAAATTCAAAATATAAATGAATTTTTATTTTCTATATGGACAGAAATTTTAGGATTAGTATTGTTTTGACACAATAATTTTAAAACAAAAAAACAAAATTATATTATTCGAAAAAAATTTCCTTTTTTAATAATAATTAAAAATAAAATAATTAGAAAATAAATTAGAAAAATATTTTTAGAAAAAAAGTAAATATTAAAAAAAAGAAATATTCAATGAATACAATTAGAAAAAATTAAAAAATTGAATTAGAAAAAACTTTGATGAAAATATTTTAAAAATGCCAGATAAAATCTTTACCGATTGCATTCATTGATTTTCGTCGGTATTTTTAAGTTAAAGATGAACTTTTTTATTTTTGTTTTCATTTAAGATCCATTTAGACGGGATATTTTATTTTATTTAAATGGAAACTCGACTGACAATGAGTGATTTGATAAAGCAGCTCTCCTCATATGCATTTCAACTTTAACATTTCCAAAGTTTCATATTATGTCACTTTAACGGGGGCGTTAGTGTCAGTTGTTGCCACCTTTTGTTCAAGCGTTTCTCATCATCTTGTCTGTTAGCTTTTCAGCTTTCGCAATAAGCCCGATAGCTCTCTCTTCGCATTTTGCTATCGCGATGCATATATATCCATCAATTTCAAGTTTCAATGTTGATTCCCTTGTTTTCATATTCAAATGAAAAACACAGCCCTTTTTTTTCAAAATGGTAATAAATTTCTGTAGTGCGGTTTTTTTTTTGCAATATTTCCATTTCAATGATTTTTATTGATTTTTAGAATTAGAATTTTTCTAGAAAAAAATTTTTCAATCTTTTCTGATTAAAAAAAAAAAAAAAAAAAAAATTAGAATGTTTTTTTTTTGAGGAAAAATAGATTTAATGTTGAAAAGTAATTCTTTTTACAATATTAAAAAAATACTCAAGAATTTTTGAATTTTATGTATTCTCTAATCTTTATACTGTTCAAGAATTTCCAAATATCGTCTACAATCTTTTCGCATTACCTTCTGTTCCATAAAATTTTTATGAATCTACAAAATTCCTTTAAACTCCATTTCGATAAGATGCAATTTTCCAGAATTTATTTAATACTTTTTAAAAAAAAATAAATTTACTTTAAATTTATCGTTGAATGAAAATTTAATTTTTAATTCCTCTTTATTTTTTAAATCAACTAATTATTTGAAAAATAAATATTTGCCTCTTTTGTTATTATTCTTTGAAATTCTATTTAAAAAATCGTGGCATAACATTGTTATTCTGATTTTGAATTCGTTGCCAGAGGGGGAAAAAAAAAAATTGTTGAACTAATTATGAAGCGTTGAAAAAAATTTGTTGCAGAAAATAATCCGCTATAGCAAAAAAAAAAAAAAAAAAAATGGGTAAATTTGCCTTTGTCTTTTTTAATCTAATATGCGTGGAAAAAAATTAAAACAACCTTGTTACTTAATCCAACGAGAGGGGGATGAGGGGTGGTTTGTTGTTTGTCTCTTGTGGTGGCGTTGCAGAAAATTTCATATTTACCATAGAAATTGTTTCTCACTCTCGAACCTCATTTGTATTCAATGCATCGCAATAGATCGGATAGCAGAGGTAAAAGCAGAGGTATATGAAATATTAAAGGTTGTTTTGCCATGGCAAGAAAGCTCTTGGGAATTTTATAAAATGTTACTGCATACATAAACATCTATCGTCTTTTTGAAAATACTTTTAAGGATTTACTATCTTGACAATTGGGGAAGTGGGGGGAGTCTCATTTCGTTACATATATACATTTCGTGAGTGAATCAATAAACGAAATGGAATATACATGAGAATAGGTCCAAGTAAAATTGCTCATGTATTATCCTTTATAGTCCTTTTATATTAGACAAGAAAATTTCAAATAGATCATTGACAAAAAATTTCCTCTTTTTTTTACAATATTTATTTTCAAAACAGAGCCAAAATCTTCATGGGAAATTGTATCGAGAAATGAATCCGGAAGTGATTCTGATGATTCTGATAGTGATGGATCGACATCTTCACGTGACGTTCCATCAACTTCAAGGAAACAACAAAAGAAAGGAAAGCAGAAAAAGGCCACGTTTATTTACTCTGATTTTCAATTATCAGGATTGTTGAAAGACGTGATTAATAATGGTAAATATATATATATTTTTTCACTATTCTACAAAATTAATCTTCCATTAGAGAAAAAATTATTTTTTGGGAGAAAAACTAGATTGATGGGAGTAAACTTTTTTTTTTGATTAGGCATGCAGGAGGCATTAAAGTGGATTACGGAAAGTTTGGAAGAATCCTTGGATAATAGAGATGAGGAAAGTGATGAAGGAATTGCTCTGGTGCCATTGACCGGTGAAACATCGGCTGCAATGGATTCGCCAAGTTTTCAACGACTTATTCGCGCAATGGGAATTGAACCTCCGGATCAGGAGCAAAATTTTTGGAGAATACCAGCTAATATGCTTCCGGCTTCGATTAAAAAACGCTGCAATCTCATTGAAGCTGCCCTAAGAGGTGAATTTGTTACTGAAGGTCGGTATAAAAATAAAAAAAAAAAACGTTTTTCATCCCTTTCATCTACTTAAAATTCATTTTCATTTATATTCTTTATTTACTGTCCTCAGAGCCCAAGAAAACTGCAATCGATTCAGATTCCGAGGACGAAGATGTATTCGAAAAACTTAGACAATCGTACAAAAAGAACAATGGTAAGAATTTTTTCAAAAAAAAAAAGAAATTAAATAAATAAAAATTAAAATACAGGCTTCAGATTGACTTTCAAGCACAAAAAAAGTCGATTTATATTGCAAATAAAGTCGATTTTTTTATTTTAACAAAATTTAATTATTAGATATTAAATTCATTTTATTAATTCTGTAATGAGAATAATTCTATAATGAATATTATTAAAAAAATTAATTTTTGGAAATTAAAGAAAATTTATTTCAAATATTTCAGAATTGAACTAATTGTAAGAAAAATTTTCAAAATTTTATTTAAGTAGAACAAATTTCTAAAAAAAAAAAAAAAATTCTTAAAGTTCCATTTTTATAATTTTTGTAAGTCTAATTTAAGCAATTTATACGAATTTCAAAAGATTTTGTTAATTTTCAAACAATAATTAAATTTTACAGAATTAAAAATAATAATTTATCAAATAATTTTAGATAACATTTTTTAAAAGTAATTGAATTTTCAAAGAATTACAATTTTGATTTTTAAACATTAATTAAACTTCAAGTGATTTTTAATTAAAATTTTTTGATAATTTCTATTACTAAAAAATCAATTAGAAATTGCAGACAAAAATAGAATAATTTGAAAATCTTTTAAGTGAAAAATGATTTCAGATAATTGAATTTTCGAAGAATATTATAAAAATCATTTAAAAATAATTGAAAATTTTTGCAAATAATTAAATTTCAAGTGATTTGAATTAAAAAAATTTTTTGTAATTTTATTTGTTAATTTTTTTTTTTAATTATAAACATTTATTAAATTTCAAAAAAATTTTAATTGAAAAATAGTTTAAGATAATTGAATTTGTGAAGAATTTCATTAAAATTATTTTAAAAAAATTAATTTAGTGAAGAATTTTAGTTAAAAATTTGTTAAATAATTGAATTAAAAAATATCTGAAGAATATCTGCATTGTACACTAAAAAAATGCGTTTTTTTTAAATTTTGTAAAATTTGTAAAAAAAAAGTAAAAAATGTTGCATTTTATTAAAATAAGTCAAAAAAAAGTCGTATAATCCGAGGCCTGCTTATAACATCGCTATAAAAATCTGGAAAATTATTCAATTATTCTTCTATAATCCAATTCTAAACTTTTATTTTGCTGGAAATTCAATTTGAAAATCTTATTAAAATTCCATCTTTATTGGCAGATAAAAGATTAAATTACGATTTTCAAGTTTTGCTTTTTCCTTGAAATTATTGAAACATCTGGTTCAGAATCTGATGAAATCTCAATATTCACACGAGTATATTTCTTTCTCCAAGGAGAGATAAAAAAAAAAAGTAAATAAAAAGCCAATAAGAAAACATATCACTACTTTCAAGTATATAAAAAAATTATGGTTTCAAATCATATTTTATATTTATTTCTTATCAAGAAACATGGATTTTTTTCCACACAACTTTTCTCATACTGGCTTGCTTTCAAAACTGTTTTCTGCTCTCGATTCGCTATTCTCACCATTTACCGATATTGCCCGCGTTCTCCATTTAGAGAGAGAGAGAGAGAGAGAGAGAGAGAGAGAGAGAGAGAGAGAGAGAGAGAGAGAGAGAGAGAGAGAGAGAGAGAGAGAGAGAGAGAGAGAGAGAGAGAGAGAGAGAGAGAGAGAGAGAGAGATATCGAATATTGTGACTCAACTACAAATATACAAAAATTGCCACGTTATATTTAAAACACATTGGAAAATCAAAAAATTTACTACACTATTGTTTTTAATTGCTTTTAAAAAAAAATTATAAAAAAAAGAAAATGCAATTACTTCCGTTTTTCAGAAATAGAAGAGCCGGAAAAGCCAAAATTAAACACGGAACGAATTCAATTAGTGTCAGATTCCACGGATTCCGAAATGAAAAGTACAAAAGTTTCGACTCTAAATTCGAGTGAGTATTCATTCATTGATTAATAGAAATCGAAAAATCAACACAACGTTCTTTTTTTTTCTTTTTGCAGAAAAAGTAGAGACAGAACGAATACAAATATCGTCAGATTCCTCGGATTCAGAAAACGAAAGTACAAAAATATCTAATGTAGATTTAAGTAAGTATATACTTGGATTTAAAAAAAGAAAAAACAAATTTTTATAATTTATTTCCTTTTTTTTTAAAAGAAGACGAAACGACAAATACAGAACAAGTACAAGTGTCAGATTCCTCGGATTCAAAAATAGAAACAACAAAAATCTCAACTCTGAATTCAAGTGAGTATTGATATTGATTTTCTTTTACTAGAATGCATAAATACATAAAATTGATTTATTTCTTTTTAGAGAAAGAAAAGACAACGAATCGAAACTCAAAGTTAAAACGAATTCAATCGATATCAGATTCTTCAGATTCCGAAATTGAAAGTACAACAAAAATCACGAATTTAAATTCAAGTGAGTATTTTATGAATTAAAAAAAAACAAAGTAAATTGATTTTTTACAATGATAAAAAATTATAAATTTATTTTAAAAATACTTATCCTTCTCCTCTTGTAAAAAAAAAAAACAAATAAAATTTTAATTTATTTCCATTACAGAAAATGATGAGTCAACAAAAACAAAAATGGGACGAATTCAATTAGTTTCAGATTCTTCAGATTCCGAAATAGAAAATACAAAAATTTCAACTTCGGGTGAGTATATTAAATTTTCTCTTTTAAAACATTGCAAAACTATTTTTATTGCCAATTATTATTCTAAATATTTTATTTAAAAAATTTATATTTTTTTTCACGGATTAAAATTTAAAATTCTCTTGACTATGGTTTCATTTATTTGTAAATTTTACATTTTAGAAGAATTGAAGAGGGACCGCTCTCTGAATTCAGACATAGATACGCCTCTAACAAAAAAACGTCGAGTGTTGCAAAGCGACGAAGAGGAGGAAGATCCCGAAAGCGGAAAAATTCAGAAAATAAAACAAACACGTATAATCGTAAGCGACGACGAAGATTAAATTCGACTTTTTACATTTCTGTTCTGCACATTTCATTTTTTTTCAAGTTAAAATCCATTTCTATTGCACATCAAAAAAAAAAAAAAGGAAGAAATTTAAATATAGAAAATTAAGTTTTATGTTGCGAAAATTTTAGCTAGATATTCGTTTTTCAGTAATTTATCATTTCTTTTCATTCCATTTTTTATGATTTAAAAGAGAAAACAATTTTTTTTTGTATTTATTTAAAATTGTTCATCGTCATAAATAATATTAAATTTGGTGTAAAATTTTGTTTAGTGTATCGATTTTTTTTTTTCAAATACACATACGTTATCGGCGCTCAGTAAAGCAGGTTTAATGTAGAACTCGACAACACTGTGCCATCTTTACGAATAAAATAGAACTTCGAATTTCTATTGAGTTTTTATTATCAAAGAATGATAACTGAATGATCGTTGGCAATTTAGTTCACAAGGGAATTTAAAATATAAATTGGAAAAAATATTGAAAATTACTCGAAAACAAAACAAAAAAAAAAAAACAAAAAAATAAAATTAAAATAAGTGTGACTATAATAAATTTTGTAAAATAAAAATTTTTCAACTATTATTATTTTAAACTAATTTAAAAAAAAATTAAATTTTTTGATTTTTAAAATCAAATTTTTTTAGAAAAAAAATTTTAAAGACACAAATTTTAAAAAATTCAATTTTCAGGAAATTCAAATTTTTATTCTTTTATTTTACAAAATATCTACAATATTGATTATCTTTTACATAAAGCATTTTTATACGGAAGGATTTTATCAACAAGAAGAATAATAATGTTCAGGGTAGTTTTTCTTAATAAAAAAAAAAAAAAAAATTTGGTTACAATATGAAAAAAATAGCGAATTAATTCAGTTTTACATTTGAATTTCAAATTGTTTAAGTAATAAATAACCAATTTGAAGTTGCATTATTTAAATAATGCAATTAATTTCTATAAATTAATTTTGAACTTAATTAAAAATTTAATATATGAAAATTTAAATGTAAAATAAATAAATAAACATTGAAAATAATGGAAAAGTTTTATTACAATTCCTTGCATATATTTATCAATTATTATGAATATTTAATGAATCACATTTGAACATCCAAGAGAAAAACTACTTTTAGTTTTCAAACTTTCACATGAAATATAATATCCTTACATAAAGTATAAAAACAAAAATATTTATTATTTAAACTTCTATTATTTATTTTTTTTTATTACACATTTTTTTATTTACACAATACATGAATATTCAGTCGAAAAGAAGCGCTCTATTGAGAAAGATGTGAAAAAAATTTTCCTCTATTTTGATATTTTCTTACTTGTATTCAACAATAAATGGTGAGTGATAATTTTGTTAAAATATAAAAAAAAAAAAAACAATTTTTTTTAAATTAAAATTTAATTTTCTTTCAGTTTTTTTATTAATCGATGCTAATGGATCCAATGAAATTATTAATAATTTTTCTAACAACATTGAATTATAAACAAATAAATTGTTTAAAATCAGATGATTGGCGACTACTTTTAAAAAATTATTTATCAAATGACTTTAAACAATATCAAATTGTATTTATTGTTGAAAATTATGAAATTTTACGTGATTATGATTTAAATTATATTATACCAAATAAATTGAATTGTCCATCATTTATTTATACATTAGATGAAATACCCAAGGGATTATATTCACGTATTGAATCATTGGGTAATCAATCGGAAATATCATTTTTTATATTTATATATTCATCAGAAAAATTCAATTATAAATTAGCAATGAATTTTTTAATTGATTCCACACATACAGAAATGCGTCCAAAATGTTTAATAATTCATTTAACAAAAAATAATACCAATAAATATAATGAATTAATGATTGATTTTTGGTCAAATCAATTTAGCGATGTTACATTATTAAAACCAATAATTATTAATAATGAAACTGATTATTTTCAATGTTATCAACGTAATGAAATTGGTGAATTACATTATTATAATTTATTTAATTATGGTTATAGAAAAGAAATAATACGTCATAAACCAATATGGTTTCCTGATAAAATAAAAAATTTATATCAACATGTAATGAATGTTTCTGGTGCATTTGGTGAAAATATTGATTTAAATTTACCAGAAAGTGTACTTATGAATATTAATGGCGATGTTGTGTTACTTAAAGTATTATCGCAATTAATGAATTTTAAAATTAATTTCACTGGAAACAATACAATAATCAAATTTTTTGGATGTAAAAAAAAGGATTTTCTTTATTCAATAACAAAAGATTTAGTTAATAATGAAATTCAAATGATTGTTAATCGTATTACTAAACCTGGCATTGCTTGTAGTCATGAACCATTTTTGGTTAGTCAAATATTATCAGTTGAATGGATAGTTGCTGCTGTACCAAGAAAAACAATTAGTACAACAATAATTGATATGAAACATTTATTTTTTATATTTATTACCAATGTTGGTACACTTATTGGAATATTGATTCTTGCATTTGTTTTAAAATTTGATAAATTCACATGGAATATAATGAATATTTTTTTAGTTATTTTATCATTAGTCGCACCAAATGAACCTCAACGTTTACGTGAAAAATTTATTTTTGGCTGTTTATTACTCACTAGTCTTGTTTATTCAATTTATTTACATACAACATTGACAAATGTTAGTATAAGAAAGGAATATGAATTAGAAATAAATTCATTGGAAGATCTTGTTAATTCTGATTTAACGCCATTTATGGATTTATCATTATCCGCTTATAGTTCTAAATATTATTTAATAGATTCTAATTATAGAATATTAATAGAGAAAGCACATATTTATGAAGGCATTGATCATTCAGCGAAATGTTTTCAAGATATGATTGATTTTAAAAATGTCTCATGTTTCGTTGATCATCGAAAACCAAATGTATTTGAAGATTATTTTTTAACACATTTATCACGCACTGATGCAAAAATTGTACCCGAACGTTGGATGCCAAGTTTATTGGTTTATTTATTTGAACCAAGTTCAAGATTTGCAAAGCGTTTTAATGATATTATTCTTCGATTAATTGAAAATGGTTTAATTGAAAAATGGAAAATACGCTCAAAAATTAATCTTTATAATATGGCTGTAACTGAACAAAAAACTAAATTCTCATCTGAATTAATGTATCTTTTAATTATTATTTTAATATCGGGTTATACAATTTCAATTATTTCTTTTATTATTGAAATTATTGTTTCACGTTGGAAAAAAAATGATAAAAATTTGTTTCAACAAAAAAATAGAAAAATAGTTAAACAAAAAAATACTTTTTCACGATTTATGTCATTGATTAAGAGAAGAAAATTGAGAATTAAATTTAAAAAATTAAAATTCAATAAATTAAAATTATTAACATTTGAAAATTGTCAAACGAATGTTAATTTTTCTCATAAATCGATATTTTGTCAAAAAATAAATAAATTTTTTAAATACACCATTAATCACAAAGAAGAGTAATTTTAATTTGCAAAATTTCGCAATTTTTCAATTATAACAAAGTTTTCAATTTTTTTTTTTTTTATAAATTTATCTCGTTCAATAAATATCAAATATTGATTCTGATCTGACATTGAACCGAATCGCGAATCATTGTATAATTTATAATTGTAAAATAAAAAAATAAAAAAAATATAATTGATTGAAATACTCGATTACTATTATCGAAATAAATATTTACTTGAATCAAATAATTTTTATTTGAATTGTATTTTAAACAAATACTATTTAATTGACTCAAATAAAATTTTTTTTCAGTGTATAATTTATATTTACTATAATATAATACTATAATTTACAATTATTTACTTTTATGTAATTATATATAATAGAATAATAGAATAATGTAAATAAAATAAATTTTAAATATCTATAAATTTTATTAAATATGAAAATTCTATAAATTGAAAAGAATAAAAAAAATAGCTGTTAAATAAAAACTAAACTGGATGGAAATTTGATTGAATATTAAAAACATTTACATTTATTATTTACAAATGTAAATATTTTAAAATTCAACCAAATTTTCACCCCGTTTAATTTTTATTTTACCGTATTTTTTTTGATTTTCTTTAATTCACAAAATTTTAAATATAAATCTTAAATAAATATAAAATAAGTAAATAAATCAATTTTAAATATAAAAATTCAAAAAATTGATTTTTAATGTTAAAAAGTACTAAATAATAATATAAAATATTAGCCTTAGTTAATCACCTATTATCAAGTTACGCCATCTATAACAGATCTTCATTACAGTCGTCATTATAATGTACTCCTTCCCTTTAAGTGTTAGCATAACCTATTAGCGTCATGTTTACATTGTTGTTATTTTTGACTTTTATCAAATGACATTATTTATTAATATCTATTCATTTATTTGTGCAATATTTATTTAATCGTAATGTGACTGACAATGTTCACTGACATAAAAAAAACTATTAACGAATTTCTATAACGATTTAAATGTTATATAATTATGAAATTTTGTGCTGATATATAACCTTTAAAGTATTATAACAATTAAATAATGTTACAGATGTATTGATAATGAAATACGTGAAATGTCGAAACTATTTATATTAATTCAAATTATAAAATTCACTATTAAAAGAATAGGTAAAACCGAGAAGTGGCAAGAAACGAATGTTGTTTACAAATTTAATTGCAAGAGTTGCCCTGCAAATTATATTGGCCAAACAAAACGTTCATTGAACACACGTATATCAATGAACATAAAAATAATAAAAACGATAAATCTGTGGTTCGTGCACATCAACTAAATTTTGATCATGATTTCGATTGAAAGAATACCATTATACTTGATCATAAAAAAAATTATAAAAAATGCTCTATTTCCGAAATGATTCATATTTTAAGTAACGATTCTACAATTAATAAGAAAAAAAGATATTTGTTTTCTTAATAAAACGTATTTCCCTCTTATTAGAAAATTAAATTCATAATAGAATCTTGAAGGTCTTTTCCTCTATACACTATTTACCTATGAGTTCATTGACTTCCTTTTTTTTAACACGTATAGTATTCCTCCAAAACAAATTTTAATTCAGTTTTGACTTGATGCTCGCATCGAAATGACGAAAATTGTCGCGTATCTAATTTTTGTAGTGTTTTACCTTTTAATTTTTAACGATAATTTTAAAAATGGATTGACTAGTTGCAATGTAGTATTATTTTAAATATTCAGGTATTATTATTATTTAGTGTTTTAATTTATGTGTCTAATTTTGTGTATTTATTAATTTGGTGTTTTATTTAATAAATTAGCCTGAAGAATATGGTAAACCAAACCATCGAAACGTCGCAACTTGACAAAATAATATAAATCTGTTTTATGTATTTTTCTTTACCTTCCATTGATCGAATTTACTTCATATCAAAATATAAGGTAAATAGTTTTGTGAGGTTATGTTTTACATGTGCTTCTGAATCTTTTTCATTTTGATATGTTTTTTCGCAGAAAATTCTTAACACTGAGAGGAGGTCTGATCGTGAGACAAGACGAAACGTTTGTAATTCGTGTATATACACGCATATTTTTAATTAATAAAATACGACCTAAACAAAAACAATACTATTTTTTTAAATATTATTATTATTATTATTTGCTGACGTATCGCGATTCGCTCGCAACGATGATAAAGACAAAAGTGACGTCACAAGTGCAGTTGGCAGAAAGGTGGGGATGAGGGAGAGACAGACACGTTCCACCTACAACCGAATAAGGAGCCCGCGTTTGTATCAGGAGTCCATAACTTCAAGCAACATATACGCTTATCATATTGACAAACCGGCTTTCAATGATAAAGACCTTCTCGCTCTTCTGTTTTCCTAACATCGGGAAGTCGCGATTAGAATGCACGTGGTCGCCTTTTGAATATTTTCATTCCATTGCCATCTGTGTGGACCCTCCAACGCTTTCGCCAAACCTCCAAACCGAACTCAATACACCTTACCTTCATTTATATAGTTCATTAAATTTTAAATTTCGTTTTCTCAAAAAAAAAAAAAATAATAATAATTTTTTTTTTTAAATTTTTTACCTTATTTTAATTTCTCACTGACTTTTCTTTATCGGAAAATTTATTGACCTTCATTTTTTTTTCCCCACTTAGAAAAAAATATTAAAATAAATTTTTAAAAAAATGGGAAAAAGAAAAAAAAATGTTTGGTTTTTAAAAAAATACAGGAGGAAAATTGTAATTATTTTTTTTTAAGCTGACGGATAACGAATAACAAATTAGAATCAATGGGTCGAAGAGAGAAGGTTCAGAAAACGAAAGAAAGGCATTTATTTAATAAACGGACATCGTTAAAACGTCCGATTTAGCTCGATTTCGACGCAAGATTAACAGGATACTATAAAGAGTTGTAAGATTATTATACTATATATATATATATATATTGATTGTATTCACTGAGATATATAAATATAAGTGAAGAAAAGTGTATTTTAATCTCTATGATATTTATGTTTGCCTGGGAAAGAATCCGCGGGATACGGAGTCCTTGCGGCGACATTATGCAGTGTGCCCATATGAGACGTTAAGACGTTTGAGAAAAAAATAAAAAAAAAAAAATAAAAATTTCTATATATATTTGTATGTAAGGGCTGGTCTCCGTATATAGCGTTGACACTCGCCAAGCAAGACTTCTCACTTCTCACCTGCCTATCAAAAGACGGCGAGTCATCCACATTGGCTAACCCATTATCCGGTTAACACGCGGCGTAGGAGCTTGTCTTTTCACTCTGGCATGTTCGCCTCGTTGTTAGTTGGCTGAGACTCTTTTTTTTCTCTTATTATACCTCTACACTCCCCTCTCACTAAACTCGACGCGAGAAAAAAATACTAAAAAAAAAAATATCAAAAAATATTTTTTTTAACAAATTTAATTTTTACAAATTTTTATAATAAAATGATAATAATAATAATATAATTCTTAATATATATATATATATATATATATATATATATATATATATATATATATATATTAAATTATATAAAAATAAATAATATAATAAAGAAATAATAAATATTTCGAGGTATTTAATATATATTATTATTGTTATTTATTTGAATTAATTAAATTTTGTTTGAAATAGAGAAATTATTGGTTTAAATACATTTTATTTGATACAAAAAAATATTTATTTAATAGATGATTATATTTGTTACAGCTAGAGTAGTTTATTGTGATCCAAAAAACTAATTTCTTCTACTACTAATTTTTTTATATTGTATTTTTTAATATTTTTTTTTATAAATATTTTTATTAATTATTAATATTTATAATAATTTAGTTCAATATAATTATTATAAACTAAACTAAAATTGAAAAAAAAAAAATTCCAAATTTCGAGAGAAAAAAAAAATTTTTTGAAAACCTGAAAAGACGAATAACATTTGAAAGGAGAATTAAAATAACAAATTACAGTAAATTTTTTATTAAATTATAAATATTGTTTTTTATAATTCGACACTTTAATCACTGATTCATATTTATATTTTGAATTTAAATTTTATTTATTTATTTATTTTTTTTTTATTTTCTTATTTTATTCACTGTTAATTAATTCTTAGGGGTGTTTCCCATAAAGAGAATATATAATGAAAATATTATACAGTGCTTTTTTTTTTGGAAAAGAAAAATATAAAAAGTTAATTATATAAGAGATTGAGTAATTTTGCAACTTTTATTATACATTGTATAGTAAATTAGTCAATTTCAATGAATGTTAATTGTCGTTAATAAAGAGCCACGCATGTTGTTGTGGCAACGGCAAGCAGACTAGTGAAGAGGCAAGTCGAGTCACTGCTGATAAGCAAGTAAATGAAGTGAAGTCATTTTATTCACAATCATCAAATGTATTTTCTCTATTTCGATTGAATTTTTTTTCTCAAATTTTCATTATAATTATATATATATATTTTTAAAGCTTACGAAGCTAATTTTAGTACGCGCAACCAATTAGAAAAAAATAATAATATTCTTATAATAAACAAAATAAAAAAATAAAATAATACAAATTTTTTCCGATGTAAACAATTTTAATTTAATTTCTTTATTTAGTTATGTAATAAATGTTAAATTATTCTTTATTTACTTATGTAATAAATGTTAATTTTATTTTTTTTTATTTAGTTACGTAATCAATGTTAATTTAATTTAGTTATGTAATCAATGTTAATTTAAATTTAAAAAACAAAGGAAACAAAAAATTAGTATTTAAAAAAAAACACAATTTTAAATATAATTAATAAAAATCGATCGAAAGGAAAAAAAACATTTTATTCAAATGTGAGAAAAAGTTCATTGTTTTTCAATTATCAACTAATTAAATTGAATTTTAAATTAATTGAATCTCATTTTTAAAAAAGCAATTTCGAATAATAGACAGCGGGCCCTATTATTTAAAGTGACGATATTTATTAAATTAATTTGTAAAAAATAGAGTCAATGAAAGTTGCAAAAAAAAAACAATTGAGAAGAAATTCCACCGTCTAAATGAAAATAATTTAATGTGCAAATTTGTAATAACAAAAAAATACGATTTTGAATATGCAATAAAGAAAATTTAATGATTAAAAAAATTTAAATGAAAATATATAAAAATGGTGAAATAAAAAAATATATAAACAATGGTTTATAAACACAATATTCATAAATATTTTTGCACCGAGGTTAATCATTTCTCAACTATGGACTATAAAAAAAAATGAATAATTCATTTCGATAATTTCTACTTATATAGGTATAACAATTCGATAAAGCATAAAAAAAATATCATTTCCTTTAACTTTTATGAAGGTCGGACATTGTTAAAATTTTGTTTATTTATTTATGTTTAATTTATGTAAGCTCAAAATGCAATATTTCAAATTTTCAATTTAGTCTTCAATTCATCTTCGGCTGTACTGTATTAAAGAACCTGTCTTAAAAATTAAAATTACTTTTTTTTAATATTATATTAAAAATAAAAAATAGTTTTAAATATAGTGGATTTTTTTTAAATTAAAAACTAAAATATAATTATTACTGCAAAAATAAAGGAAAATAAATACTTAGAATTTTATACACAAAAAAAATGACAGTGTCAGCTGAAGATAACAATAAAAGTCTGGAATATGAAAATGAAACATTTTTGGAAAGCTTAAATAGATGGAGAAAAAATATGTTGTGGAGCAGATTTTTTATGTACACTATATGGGTCTCTATTGCTTTATATGGATTTTTGACTTTTCCCTACAAAACACACAAATTAACATTTATATGGTGTATGTGTTTTAAAATAATAATAAAAATTTCTATTTTAATTGAAACTTTTTATTTTTTGATTTTTAGTAATTTTTTTAATTTTTATAATTCATTTTTGGATTTTTCTATTCTATTTCAAATAATTTCGTTAAAAAATATAAAAATATATGTTACAAAATAATAATAAAATTTCTGTTAAATTTTACTTTCAGTTTATTGTATTTTTTTTTTTTGTTAATTTAAAAAAATTTTATTTTTGGATTTTTTTAATCTAGTTTAGAAATTTTGAAAAAAAAAATTAAAAAGAAATTTTCTTCTCAGTGTTAATTGTTCATGTTTACGCTGCATTTGGCACATGTGGTGGTGCTCATCGTTACTGGGCTCATCGATCATTCAAAGCAAATTTACCCCTTCGAATTTTTATGGCTTTTGGTCATTATTGCGCAGGCAATGTAAGTATTATTATTTTTTTTTTTAATTTTATAAATAAATTGTATCATTTAATACAATTTTAGTGTTTATTTTATATTGTATATAGTTCTCAATATACGATTGGGTCAAAATACATAGAGTTCATCATAGATATACGGACACAGATGCCGATCCTCACACTGCAACTCGGGGTTTTGTCTTTTCTCACATAGGATGGTGGGTGCAAAAAAAACATCCGGAATTTCTTAAACGACTAAAGGAATGTGATATGAGTGATGTAAAAGCAGATCCTGTGGTTGCTTTTGGAGATAGGTATAAAATTCAATCTACACTGACAAAAAAAAGAACAAAAAAAAATTTTTTTTTTTCATTCAAATAATCGGTTATTTTTTTTTTAAATAAAAAAATTTATTTAGTATAAATAAAATTTTTATTTTAAACCAAATAAATATATTTTTTTGAAACAAATAAATATATTGTATTGAAACAAATAAATATTTATTTGACTCTGAGAAAAAATATTTTTTCACTGGTTAAAAAAACAATATTATTTGTTCGCAGACATTTTGGCAAATTTATGACTCTAATGATTACCCTACCAGCACTTGTGCCAGTTTATTTATGGGGTGAAACTTGGTATTGGTCAATTATGTCACAATTTTTTATGCGTTCTATGCTAACAGTAAATTCCATAGCATTAGTTAATAGTGCATCACATTTGTTTGGATCAAAACCATTTGACAGGTATTATTTTATATATAGGAAAAAAAAATTATTATTAATAATAAATTAATAATAAAATAATAAAAATTTGTTATTATGTTTATAAATTTTTTTATTTTCAAAAAATAGCTCCATAATGCCAAGTGAAAATTATCTTGTCGTTCTTTTTTCAACTGGAGAAGGATGGCACAATTATCATCATACATTTCCATGGGATTATCGTGCAGGTGGACTTGGCAAATATGATTTTAATTTAACTTCATTTTTTATCAAACAATTTGGAAATATTGGTTGGGCCTACGATTTAAAGACTGCAAGTGACGATCTTATTAAATTGACTTGTAAAAATAGAGGCGATGGAAGTTACAAAAAATTATGGGAGGAAGTTCCTTTACCCGAATAAAATATTTCTTTTCTACTTTTACGAATTCATAAAATTACATATAAAACACTTTTTTGTTACGCATTTATTTATTATAAAAATAAAAAAAATATTTATAATTTTGTTATTTTCTAATAAATTGTTTTAAAAAGTAATCAATTTTCTATTATATACATGGAAAAAAAAGAAATTACAAACGCTAACCGATGTTTGCTATCGGATCTATCAAAATTAGTAACCACAGTTAAATTTTTTGCTAAGACAACGAAAAAGTTTACTTTAATTTTTAAAAATTTACTGTCACAGCAAACATTTTTGACCCCACAGTAAATTTATTCCCTGTCCCCCTATATATTAGCTAACGTAATTTGATGTGAGAGTAAATAATTCGCTGCTACAGTAAACTTTCCCTATAGTATATAGGGAAAATTACGATACTGCGGGGTTCTTTTTTTACCCTTTACTCAAAATATTAAAACTGCGCCCACTGTCGGCGTAAAAGTAAAACTTGAATAACATTACATTGACAGTTAATGGTAAATTTCTGTGTAGAAAAAATTTCTGTGAAAAAAAAAAATGGAAAAATATATTTTTTTCAAAATATTAAAGGGCATGTGAAACGATAGATACGTTCCTGATGAAGGAACATACACACAAACACGTTTTGATTGTGCTTCTACTTATATGTATCGAATGCACTCCAGTTGCGTGCATATCAGTTTTGTCGTCATACAGGTCTGAAAATATTATTATAGAAAGGTAGGAATTTCAAGTGGGTTGATAGTTAATAGCCATCAATCATCACCGAATTTTGGCAACGCGTCGGACAACGAAGTCGTCAGGATAACATCATCTATGGAGAGGTCTCCGGGACCACAATACATATATATGTATATATATATATGTATATATCTATACATATATAGAGAGAGAGTGAGAGAGAGAGAAAGAAAGGGGGGGCGCATTTCACTCCCAGGTTCAATACCACCGAAAATTCAGGTCCTGATGGCAACTATCACGAATACGGTCATTGACCTCTTGTAAAAAAAACTCTACTATATCTATTTCATTTTTTTTTCTGATAATTTTATATTTTCAATAAAAATTGTTAACATTTTTTTAAACTCAAAAATTGATCCCTTCTCCCCTCTGAAAATTTATTTTTTATCATTAAAATAATTATTATAATAATATAATAATTTTTTACCTAGTTAAAAAAAATTAATATAAGGGGAAAAAAAGAAGAAATCAATTTAATGAATTTAACGAGTTATGCGCGCCAAACAGATAAGATGAAAAAGAACAAATGTAATAAAGAGAGAATCGTGTATATGTACATACGATGCTTCATGTCTTGTAAATTGCCGTACGTAATTGTTTGAAGTACATGTATTCGGAGTTTATACGACAAAGGAGTTAAACTTCGTGAGTACACTAAGTACGCACGTTCTTTTTACTCTTCGAGATATATACCATATACCAGTTTTCAAGGTCACTCATGGTACCCTCAACTTTCTTATGTAGTTTTATACTTGGAATTTGCAAAAAAAAAAAGTTTGTTTTAAAACATGAGAATATATAATATAAAATTAATATAATATAATAATAAAATAATTTTTGAAATTTATTAATGACATAATTAAAAACTTTATTTCAAATGAAACATTCGGCAGAAAAATTTCGGCGCGAATTGGAAAATTAGCCAATCAAAATTTTTACCAGTAATTTCTGATTCGTTAATTTTAGAATTCGCCTCCGAAAGTTAATTTCAACAAATGAAAATTTGATTAATTCTAAATTCTGTTAAATAATTTTTCAGTTTATGTATATATAAATTCTGTATAAGTTAAATTTAAAAATCGATTTCTTGTCTGCTTTCTGATAATTTATGAATTAGAAGCAACTATTTTATTACAATATTGAGGTGAAATGCACAATCCTGATGCATCGTCTATTATGTAACCTGGATGACATTTACATCCTTTTACACAATCCTGTTTATGAGAAAAAAATAATTATTTGCTATATTAATTGAAAATTATAGAATATTATTATTTAATAATAATAAAAGAATAAATTCATTAAAAATATAAAAGCAACTAACATCGGTACAAAAACGTGGTTTAGATTCCCTGTAATTACTACATTTTAATGGACACCTTGATGCACAATCACTCAAAACTCCATTTGGTCCACATGCGGTAATTTGTGGGGGAAGAATTATAAACGGTACTATTGAAATTAATACATAAAATTTATAATTAGACATTAATATAAAAGCAATTTTTTTAAAATAAAATTTAATTCATATAATCGGTTCATTTATTATCAAATAAAAATTTTCTTGAGCAAAATAAATATTTATACTTGAACCAAATAATTTTTATTTGCAATAAATAAACTGTATTTGAACTAATATTTTTTTATGCTTACATAAATTTTCATTTCCATTGGCAGAGATAACAGTGACAAAAAGTAAAACTAAAAAAATCGGGGACATATTAATTATATTTTTTTTCTACTTTTAAACTAAACTCAAAAGATATTTTTTTTATGTATATTCTTAATTAGACTTTCAGTGGCTAAATGATGTCAAAAACATTTATTGAGGATCAATATGAGTATTACAAGTGTTTTTATTATAAAAAAATTTTCCTGCAAGCTAATTTTGTAATTGCATATGCGGAAAGAAACATAATTATAATTATCTTATCAGTGTTTTGCTTCATCGTGGAGGAAACTTTGTAGTCATTCAAATTTAACTTTTTTTTTAAATTCATTAAACAAACTAATTTTCTTTGCATATTTACAAAATCCAAAAATTCATTTTATCAACATATAGCCTTAAACTTTAATTCTCAAAGTTGATTTACACAAATTAATGTTAAATTTAATTGTTAAATTGTTTGGTGCGCATTGCTTAGGAATCTTGTTGACGTCACTGACGCCCCCCATTAAAAAATTCGAGATTAATTAAAAATAATTTATAAATACAACCACTTTGTAATGTTTCCCTGCTCCCTCATATATATTTTCCCCAATTATTCATTATCTAGTATGAAACACTTGCTTTTAGCCACTAAATCCAATACGACGCACTAATCACATTCTCATAATGCCAGCAAAAATGTGTTCAGTTTTTTTTCTGTGGAATGAATAAAAATTAAATGGAAAAATAAATTTGAGATTTTATTCAGTTGAAAATTGGTTTATACATAATAGGACATTAGCTATATATGTATATATAATGTGCACTTGAGAAGTGTCTTTTCATGGGATATTTGTCTTACTAGGCAAGACATGATCTACTGCGGGGACTATAAAAATATATTACATAAAAACGACAGAAAAGAAATATAGTGCTTGGAATTTTTTCTGACAATTCACGACTTTCGACTGAGCCAAAAAATGTTAATGTTAATGTTATCCGATTTACATTTATATTATATAACTAACATTGTATTACTATTTGCTAGAACTTTTTTATGTTTTCATTATTTTCCTGATAATATTAGGTGTTTTCAGTAAATTTTAATATTATAATAAATATATATTTATAAATAAGAAACTAACAATTAATATTAATATAAAAATAATATAAATAAATATTAATATTAACTAAATATATATTATATGTAATAAAAAATATAAAGAAAAAAAAATCTTTCACTATAATTATTTTTTGTAATAATTGTAGCAAATTTTTTTTTGCAAGTGTGTATGATTGTATTAGACTTATAAATTCAGATGGTAAAAAGCTGTATATACATATACGTGTGATATATACCGTAACCTTGGGAACATTCGAGCTGTTGCCAATTCTAGTTATTCTCTCATCACTGAATGTGTCGCGAACGACTCTCCGTTGTATTTTATCAGGAGCGCATAAAATACAGAAGAGTTAAAACGCGAATTAAGATCGTCAGATGTATAACCCCAAGCAGGAACGACCATACTAATTTTTTTTTAAAAAATCATTTATTTATATTTTTGTTATAAAAAAAACTATTTTGTGCTCTTTTTAAAAAAAAGAAAATTAATTTTTTCAATTTCCCATAAAAAATTCTTTTTTCTTCAAAAACTCGAATTTTCATTTAACAGAATAATTATATTATAATTTTATGATTAAAATTATTTAAATATAAAATGAATAAATATTCTGAAACGCTATATTTGTCTTCGAAGCCTATCATTTATTTGTTGCAAATATATTTTATTTCATTTAAATAAAAAATTTATTTGAGCCAAAGAAAAATTTATTTGTGATAAATAAAATTTTTATTTACGTCAAAATTAATAAGTTAGTAGGTTCGGAGATAAATATACGTTTATTTAATTCAAATATATTTTATCTGATTCAAATATATTTTATTTGATTCAAATAAATAATTTCTCTGGGTGCAAATAAATATTTATTTGAGCCAATTAAATGATATTTGTTTCAAATAAAGAAATTATTGGTTCAAGTAAATATTTATTTGATAATAGTCAAGTAACCGATTATTTGAATCAAATAAATTTTTTTTCAGTAAAGGTAAATATATTTTTTTTTTTTCCTACTTTTATATTTTGTAATTTTTAATTTTAATTAGAATACTTTATAGAAAAGGGTTTTTTTTTATCTTGTTTTATAGGCTGTGTAAATAAATAAGTAAATAAATAAATTAATTAAATAAATTAGTAAATATTATTAATTGTTAATTAATTATTTTTTATTACAATTTTAATTAAATATAAAAATGCAATTTTAAATAATTCCAAATTAGAGAGAGAAATGATTGGATTTTTTCCTTATATGTATTTGTATTATATTAATTTCGCGAGACGTTGAGACGCACCTGATTCTCGAGGTCGAAGTCAAGAAAGCATTCTACTTGGAGTACCGCCACGACTTACATGTTATCCTTGGAAAAAGATTTACCAGACTCCGGTTATTGATGCACCATTATGTTTTTAATTACGGTAGGTTAGTTGCATACAAAACGTCATTCTATGCGTCAAACTACGTAACATATACCTCTGACGTAGTTATAGAAAGAGGCTCAACCATATATATATTCTCAAACGAATAAGAAGCACACTAAACTATATTTATAAAAAAAAAAAAAATTTTTTATATAAACCACTTGTCACGCATTTTAAAAAATATATATATTTTACATTTTTTTTATAAAAATTAAAATTTACAATAGTAAACAATTGGAAAAAATTTGTAATAATATAAAAAAAATTCATAAAAATTTTTAAGTATAAATTTTAATTTTTTTGTATATTATTTTTTAAATAATTATTAATTATTACTACTACTGATAATAATATTAATAAAAATTAATATTTAATTTATAATAAATATAATAGTAAAAAAATTATCTTTTAGTAAATTTGTAATCTATTGTTAATAATAATAGTTTCAATATTAAGAAGAAAGATTCGTTACCATTGTATGGTTCAAGCGATACTTTGTGAAAGTTTATCGTATTCTTTATCTTATGAATGTCGGTCACTTATCAGTGGAGCAGTATATAGCTCCAAGCGAGCAGTTATTTTGAAATCAATAATTATTTTCCAATAATTGAAAATAAAAATATATTTAAAATAAAATAATTAACTAAATAAATATTAAAATTCAATAATTTGGTAATAATTTAAAATATGATAATTTAAAAATACACCCGGAGAAATGTTTTATTTGAACCAAATATAATATATGTTTGAATTAAATAAACGTGTATTTGTCTCACAGCCTACTAGCTAATTTATTTGGCGTAAATAAAATTTTTTTATTTAAATCAAATAAACATTTATTTAAATCAAATAAATATTTATTAGGCTGTGAGACAAATATATATCATTTCTCTGGATGTAAATTAGTATTTATATTTAAATGTTATATTATTTAAAAAAATTTATATATTAATCAAATATTGGTATAAATAATATTAAATATTGATATAAATAAATTAGTAATTTAAAAAAAAAAAATTCAAATTCTGATCTTTTTCTAATATTGATGTTTCTGCATCGAATTTTGAATTATTTTTTCGATGTCAATAATGAGCAAAAAAAAAATTTTTTTTTTATAGTTCCTTCACTGTGATTTGCATTCATGAACTAAACTCCCATTGATTTTACAGAATTTTTTCTACACAATTGATATATATATATATATATATCTTGTGTATTGTGCAAGTAAATTTTATTGTTTTGCATTTTCTCGGAAACCTACAAATAGTCCTATATTGCAATACTATATCCTAATCGATGATACCTAGTGCACATCAAATTTCATATGAGAAGCACCTTCATACATACAATAATGTTTTCATAGTAATTTGAAACTAGATTCAAGTTTCCAGTATTTCTCGTATTTCCACACTCTATATATAATGTTTTTTCAATTAATTGTACCAATTTTTTACTTCTTCTAAATTCATTATTGACTTTTTTGTTTCAGAAATTAGTAAAAAAAAACAAACCAATTATTAGTATAGAAAATAACTAATTAGTAAAAAAAACAACTAATTATAAAAAATAACTAATTAGTGAAAAAAACTGATTAGTAAAAAATAACTAATTAGTAAAAGAACTATTTAATAAAAAATAACTAATTATTACACCTAAAGAAATTATAATATTTATCTCATAGCCAAATAAATGTTTATTTGTTTCAAAAAAATTTTTATTTGGATTAAATAAAAATTTTATTGGCACTAAATAAAATATTTGATTCAAAAAATTTTATTTGTCTAAAATAAATGCCAATAAAATATTTCTCTGGGTGTTTAGTAAAAAGTAACTAATTATTAGTAAAATGTAATTAATTTTTAGTAGAAAAGTAATTGAAAAAATAGTAAATAAGTAATAATTTTAATTAGTAAAATATAACTAATTTTTAGTAAAGGAACCTAATTATTAGTAAAAAGAAACTAATTATTAGTAAAAAAAACAAATTATCAGTTAACTGTCACTAATTATTAGTAAAGTAATTTTTCTTTAGTAGAAAAATAATTTAAAAAATAGTAAATAAGTAATGATTGAATTTAAAAAAATAGTAATCAATAAATAATTGAAATTAGTAAAAAAATAACTAATTATTAGTAAAACAACCTAACTATCAATTAAAAGTAACTAATATCAGTTAAAAATAACTAATTATTAGTAAAATTTAATTTTTCTTTAGTACTTTCTAAATTTGAATTAGGGAAAAGTGAGGTACTAAATGCACATTAGTAAGGATTTTTACCAATTTTTAGTAAAATATTACTATTTGATTTAGTAGTTTACAATTTTTTTTACTAAAGTTTCTGTAAAAAGTAGTGAAAAATTTACTAATTTAAATTAGTAGCTCACTTTTCACTAATTCAGATTTAGAGTTAAAAAATAATTGAAAATTAGTTATTTTTAATAATAAATTTAGTAGAAATTTTAATTCTTAAATCAGTGACTAAATTTTTTATTTATTTATTTTTCTTTATGAATGCTTCAAATTTAAACAAAATGAAAATTATGATTAAACGTTAAAATACAATATATTATTAGTTTGTTATTAACAAAAAATTTTTTTTTTATTGCTAAGATTGACTTATAATTTGTATTGATTTTCATTAAATTTCACGCACCATTTACGGTAAGCAGTCCTGAAAATTGCTGAGAACTGTTAATTTGTTATAGATAAAGTTCAATGCAAGTTATTAAATTGTGCGTAAAGCCTTTCGAAAAAAACATTATGTAGAATTTTTTTTTAAGATTCAACAAAAACAAATTTAATTTTTCAAAATTTTTTCAAAATTATTTTAAATGTAGCTCAGCATCCGCTGGACCAATCAAAAAGTGCGCCATACATTTTTTGTTCAGAACTTTTTTCCTATTTTATTGGTGGTATACCGGAGCGTTTATCTCGCAAATTTAATTTTTCTAAATTTTTTCCAAATTTGTATTCTAGTGTAGCTCAGCATCCGCTGGACCAATCAAAAAGTGCGCTATACATTTTTTGTTCGGAACTTTCTTCTAATTACTTTGGCTGTATTCCCGAACGATTATGTCGAGAATTTAATTTTTCGAAAATTTTTCCAAAATTATTTTAAATGTAGCTCAGCATCCGCTGGACCAATCAAAAAGTGCGCCATACATTTTTTGTTCAGAACTTTCTTCTAATTACTTTGGCGGTATTCCCGAACGATTATGTAGAGAATTTAATTTTTCGAAAATTTTTCCAAAATTATTTTAAATGTAGCTCAGCATCCGCTGGACCAATCAAAAAGTGCGCCATACATTTTTTGTTCGGAACTTTCTTCTAATTACTTTGGCGGTATTCCCGAACGATTATGTCGAGAATTTAATTTTTCGAAAATTTTTCCAAAATTATTTTAAATGTAGCTCAGCATCCGCTGGACCAATCAAAAAGTGCGACATACATTTTTTGTTCAGAACTTTTCTCCTATTTTATTGGCGGTATACCGGAGCGTTTATCTCGCAAATTTAATTTTTCTAAATTTTTTCCAAATTTTTTTTCTAGAGTAGCTCAGCATCCGCTGGACCAATCAAAAAGTGCGCCATACATTTTTTGTTCAGAACTTTCTTCTAATTACTTTGGCGGTATTCCCGAACGATTATGTCGAGAATTTAATTTTTCGAAAATTTTTCCAAAATTATTTAAGTGTAGCTCAGCATCCGCTGGACCAATCAAAAAGTGCGCCATACATTTTTTGTTCAGAACTTTTTTCCTATTTTATTGGTGGTATTCCGGAGCGTTTATCTCGCAAATTTAATTTTTGTAAATTTTTTCCAAATTTGTTTTCTAGAGTAGCTCAGCATCCGCTGGACCAATCAAAAAGTGCGCCATACATTTTTTGTTCAGAACTTTCTTCTAATTACTTTGGCGGTATTCCCGAACGATTTAGTAGAGAATTGAATTTTCGAAAATTTTTCAAAAATTATTTTAAGTGTAGCTCAGCATCCGCTGGACCAATCAAAAAGTGCGACATACATTTTTTGTTCAGAACTTTTTCTCTATTTTATTGGTGGTATTCCGGAGCGTTTATCTCGCAAATTTAATTTTTGTAAATTTTTTCCAAATTTGTTTTCTAGTGTAGCTCAGCATCCGCTGGACCAATCAAAAAGTGCGCCATACATTTTTTGTTCGCTACTTTTTGCTTAAGACTTTGGCGATATTCCCGAACGATTATGACGAGAATTTAATTTTTCGAAAATTTTTTCAAAATTATTTTAAATGTAGCTCAGCATCCGCTGGACCAATCAAAAAGTGCGCTATACATTTTTTGTTCAGAACTTTTTTCCTATTTTATTGGTGGTATACCGGAGCGTTTATCTCGCAAATTTAATTTTTCTAAATTTTTTCCAAATTTGTTTTCTAGTGCAGCTCAACATCCGCTGGACCAATCAAAAAGTGCGCCATACATTTTTTGTTCGCTACTTTTTGCTAAAGACATTGGCAATATTCCCGAACGATTATGTCGAGAATTTAATTTTTCGAAAATTTTTCCAAAATTATTTTAAATGTAGCTCAGCATCCGCTGGACCAATCAAAAAGTGCGCCATACATTTTTTGTTCAGAACTTTTTTCCTATTTTATTGGTGGTATACCGGAGCGTTTATCTCGCAAATTTAATTTTTCTAAATTTTTTCCAAATTTGTATTCTAGTGTAGCTCAGCATCCGCTGGACCAATCAAAAAGTGCGCCATACATTTTTTGTTCGGAACTTTCTTCTAATTACTTTGGCGGTATTCCCGAACGATTATGTCGAGAATTTAATTTTTCGAAAATTTTTCCAAAATTATTTTAAATGTAGCTCAGCATCCGCTGGACCAATCAAAAAGTGCGCCATACATTTTTTGTTCAGAACTTTCTTCTAATTACTTTGGCGGTATTCCCGAACGATTATGTAGAGAATTTAATTTTTCGAAAATTTTTCCAAAATTATTTTAAATGTAGCTCAGCATCCGCTGGACCAATCAAAAAGTGCGACATACATTTTTTGTTCAGAACTTTTTTCCTATTTTATTGGTGGTATACCGGAGCGTTTATCTCGCAAATTTAATTTTTTAAAAATTTTTCCCAATGTTTTTTAGTGTAGCTCAGCATCCTCTGGACCAATCAAAAAGTGCGCTATACATTTTTTGTTCGAGACTTTTTGCTCATTTTATTGGTGGTATTTCGGAACGATTATGTCGCAAATTTCATTTTTGGAAAATTTTTCTGAAATTGATTTGAGTGTATCTCAGCATCCGCTGCACCAATCAAAAAGTTCGCCATACATTTTTTGTTTCAAAGTGGCGGTAACAAATTTTTTTCTTTATAGAAACATGTTTTATGAGATCCGGATCAATTGTCCGGATGTATATATGTGTGTGTATCCCTTTTTTGTTTAGAAGATAACTTTAACAGTTTTTAATGGATTTAGATAAAATTTGATAGGCTCATTTATCATATTAATATCACAAATCTGACCAAAGGATTTTTAAAAATACCCAAAAAAAAAAATTTTATCGCCTTTTTTTCCAAAATTTTTTTTTAACCGAAAAAATTTTTAAATTGAAAAATTTAAGGTTATATCTATTAAAATCGTATTCCTTACGTCAAGGCGAATCGTTCGATATATATATAAAGTATACATTTGAGGTAAATTTAAAGAATTAATGAAAGTTAAAAAATCAAAAATTCACATTTTGGCAATAAATTTTGCTTTCTCCACGAGGAAGCAAAATGTTCATGTAATGAACATCTGGATTTACAACTTGTTTCTGAAGTTCTATAGCATGTTAAAGTATGAACTGACTGTAGAAGTTACTATAGGTAGGGAAACAGTCTTCGATACTTTCAGCTTATTCAGTTTGTTGTACGCGCTTTACTCGAACAGGTGTGTTCAGTGTATATATTCTGATCGTTCCCTTCATTTTTTATATATTGTTAACTATTATTTAATTCTTTACATAGTGCAAGTGCAACGAACTTTTTTTTTTATTCACTTAAAGTGTATGTGAAAAAATTCAAGTTCTATGTCAAAAAAAAAAGTTTAATATTAAAAACTTTATTGAAATTGAATTTCGATTTTATGAAATTTTGGTATGTAAACACACAATTTTAATATAACAATATTTTAATATAATATTAATTTAATATAACAATAAAAAAAATTAATCAGCAAATTTTATGTATAAAAATAATTTCGCGAGAAACAAAATTTTAATTCAAAAAATCGTTCAAAAAAATCAAACTAATTATTAAAAATTTAACTAAGTTTATACATTAATTACTTTTTTCTTTCCTTGATTACACAAAGTGTATTTTTTAAATTTTTTTCTGTAATGGCATTTCTTTATCCAAACGAAGAAGTGGAACGATATAATATTACGATACTTAGATGTCAACGCGTTTTTTATATCATATTGTCAGATGAATTAAATAATAATTTTCTTTTCATTAAAACAATTAAGGTATACAATAATAATTATTGAATAAAAAAAATAATAATAAAAATAGCACCTAGTAAAAAAAATAATAGTAAAAATTAATATAGTAATAATAATTTTGATAATAATAATAATAATAAAAATTAATTATTGAATAATTAACGATGATAGTTTCAATTGTCGTGATTCTTGTTAATTAATTACTTTTTTAATATATAGTGTAACTATTATTAATTAATAAAATAAAATATATTACGAAGTCATTTTTCGGAATTGATATCAGCATTAAAAAAAAGAGGTGCGCTTGCACTTTTCTTAAAGAAAAAAATTATTACCAAATTATATGCAAATTGCACAATGAAAATAAATAGATAATAAGATTATTATCGTTTTGTTAGGTGAAAAAAATTTTTTCCCACGCTATTAATAAGTAGACAGAGCATGTCGATACAAAAAGATATTATAATTTAATATTTTATATTCTATATAAAAATTTGAATAATGTTTGTCTTGTCATTATTTTGAAAAATTCCTTCTTATTCATATTTTCTTCTTTTTTTTCTCGTCTTTTGAATAGATAATTACATGGTAAAAACTCTATACCACTGAGAAAAATTAACAAACAATTTTCCGGTCTCTTTATTCATTGGTCCATATCTTTTCAAGAGTTGTGGTTGTCATCTCTGTTATTTTTTAAAAAATACTTTATTTTTTCAAAGGAAATGCATTTTTTTCCCTAAGTTTTCATTATAAAGAATTATATTTTAATATTAATTATTAATAAATTAATTAATTATAGTTGAATAAAATTATTTATTTATATCTACGGGCAAGCTATTTATATCACATAAATTATATAATCATATAATATTTATATTATTTATTATATTTATTATTTATTTAATTAATTAAATAATTATTAAATTTATTTATTTTATATATTTTAATTTATATTTATTTTAATCATTTAAAGTATTTAAATTTAAAAAACAAAAACAAAAATGCTTCAATAAAAATAATTCTTTAATTTTTTTTTCTTGCAACTATACTTGATATAACTTTATGTTTAAATAAATAATTTTAAAAAATTACAATATTTTTGAAATTCTTACATCACAATTACATTTACGATAATGTGTAACTTTTTTGTTGTTGTTGTTGTTTTTTGTGCAAAAAATGAATAAAAAAAAAAAAAATAAAGCAGTTCAGGAAGCACAATTTTCGGTCGAAGGACTGTAAAAGGTACACTCTTTGTTTTCACCGGAAATCGTCAACTAATCTTTTGTTTAACTTGGCAATTGCATTAGAGTTGTAAGAAGAAAATAATAACTGTTATCTTATGCAAGATGCTTGGTAAAGAAATTCTCGTTATATTAATATAATTGTATAATTATTATATTTTATTATTACTATTATTTTTATTGTTTTTATTACTATTATTATTTTTATTATTATTGGCGAGCATAAAAGACAATTTATTTACAAAAATGATCATTATCGACTAATATTTTAATAATTTTCAATTTCACTTTTTAACATTGTAAAAGCATTAACAAGATTTAACAATTTAAAAAGCGATAGTAATATTTTGCAATAAATGAACAATTGAGATATATAAATTATTTTTAATTTAAGATTAAATTATTTTTTAATAGTGTCTTTAATTAAAAAATTTTCCATTTTATAAATTTCTGTAATTTACACATATTACTTTATGTTAATTACTTTATCGTAATAATAATAATAATAATAATAATAATAATAATAATAATAATATAATTTTTTTCTACAGGACAAAAATTACTTCATGCGTAAAGTTAAGAATACACATTCCTTGCTATAATAATAATTAGCCTGTATAAATTCACCTAATAAATAAACTTTAACTAGGCTGGAAATTTTCATATATATATAACGACCTGGATGTTTATCATAAAAAATGATTTACCCCCAATTTTCGAAAAAAAATAATTTTTTTTTAACCAATAAATTAATCCTTTTACTGTCGATGGCAAAGATTTGCAAATCTTTGCAATGGCAGTCAAGGGGTTAATAATAATAATTTATAAATAAATAATAAATTTATTTATTTAGATTGTAAATTTTCGTTTAATTAGAAATATTCAAAATTCGCGCTAAATAAAAATTGACAAGAATTCAAAAATTTTGCTTATTTTAAGAGAAATCTAAGACCCACTTTTCGGCACAATTCACTTGAACGAAATTATTTTGAATAACCCCTTTCTTTTCTATATAATTATTTTTTTTTTCAGTTGCTAGTTAGTTAAAAAAAAAAAAAAAAAAAGGTGACTTATTTTCTGCTTTCGAGAAATAAAAATTAAAAGTGGTCTCTTTGTTTAAATTTTTTAGAGAAATTCAGAGCATTCATGAAGCATTTGGCGATATTTACATTAACGGGAAGTGCAGGGCACCCCTACAATCAGCGCGTGCGTGTGTATATTATATATAGAAGAGAAGGTAGGACGAAGACAGATATGAAAAAGGAACGTCACACATGCGTGAACAGTGCCTACATGTATATATATACATATTTTCATTGCTTTTGACTTCAATGCATCAGCAAAGGGAGGTCGTCACGCAACGTTTCCTTTCGCGGGGTGACAGCCGGCTTGGTTAAGTCCATGCCACTCTATATGTCAGTATAGCCCCGCATATATGTACGTTTTGCTATCATTCGGATACACGCATGGCAGGTGTGGGAAATGACGTCATGCACCTCCGACCCCTTCACAAAATATTCACAATTCAGTCTTTAGCGGAAATCATTTATTTCCTACACAATTTTCCTCGCCTGGATATATATATATATATATATATATATAGAAATGCATAAATAAAATTCATTTCTTGAAATTTTTAATTTATAGAATTTCATTCAAATATAGAATTTTCATTGAGCCGAATTTTTATTTGTTCGAATAATTTTTTTTTTTAATAGAATTTCCATTAAACCAATTTTTCTTTATTATAGAATTTTTAAATACCAACTAAAAATGTAGTTTTTTAGAATTTCAATTTGATCAAAGAATTCAATAAAGATATTTTTAGTAATTTTAATAATACAGTGAAAAAAAAATTTATTTGATTCAAATACTCGATTACTTGACTATTATCAAATAAATATTTTTTTTTTTTGTTTCAAATACAAAAATTATTGGTTCAAATAAAATTTATTTAATACAAATAAAAATTATTTTGTTCAAGTAAATATTTATTTGATAATAGTCAAGTAACCGAGTATATTTGAATGTAAACTTCAGCCAAACTCGATCTGGAGTAGAAAAAATAATCTAATTACAACAAATTATAAAATTATAAAAAATAATTTCTAATTATTAATTATTAAAATATAAAAAATAATTATAAATTATTAATTATTAAATTATAAAAGTAATCATAAATTATAAAATTTAATTTAATGCATTTTTTTCGATTTAGAGGAATTTTAAGTTTTGTGACCTTGAACGAGCCGAGCGTTAAACGCTTAAAGGGCCTAACGCCGCTACAAACTATAAAGTAGTGTAAAATTAATAAAATTTAGTTTTAATTAATTTTTCAAAATTTTACATACTTTAGAATTGTGTTTTTAATACAAAAATTTATTTCATTTAAATAATATGTTACTTTACTATTGTAAAATAAATATTCATTTATATTAAAACTATTATTTGAACCAATTTTAAATGATATTTGTTTCAAATATAGAAATTATTGGTTCAGATATAATTTATTTAATTCAAATAATAATTATTTGTTAATTAAAAATTATGTAATGTGAAAAATTGGGTTTTTGGAAATTCTGTCAAATTATAATTCGAACAAATGAAAATTCGTAAATGAAAATTCGCTCACTTTTAGATACCTAATTCTTATTTTAAATAAATTAGTTACTATAAACTTTTGTTTATACAAAACGATTACGATTACATTAACATCGGAAAAAAATTGAAATTCAGCTATTTCCGTTTTTTTTGGAACGTTGCGTCAAAATGCAATACAAGAAAAAGTTTGAAAAGCATTTAATTATTTTAAGAGCATATATACCTTCACGAAGAATCTCAAGTTAAAATGGCATTTTAATGAGAGATTTTTGTTGTTTCTAAATGCTTTTTTCACATTTTTTTTTTTTTTTTATATAACTTGAAATGAGTTAAACAAAAATGAATTTCCGGTTCTAACACACATTTCAGAAAATTCGACACCTTCACACTAATATAACGTACTAAAAGTTTTGTTTCCAACTATCAACGAAATGCACGCAAACCTTTTTCAAATAGACATTTGAATCGATTCTTTTAAATTTCGCAAATAATATAAAAGTTTATATAATAGAGGAAATGAACTAAAATTAAGAAAATAAACCTCTTTTTTTATCACACTGGGTCAAATTTTATAATTTTCTTTAACATAAAGCTTATATTAAAGATTTTATATAAAATTACGTTAAAAAATAAAAGGGGTAATGAAATTCAGATTGAATTTTAAAAATGAGGTGTATACGAGTTAGAAGCGTGGCCGACACGGTTTTTCGTTAAGGAGAGCGATTGTTCTACAAAGTACTAGCATGTCTGAATTTCAAGAAAAAGATAAGTGTCAAAATATTTGAATTATTTTACAGTGATGATCACAATCAAAATCACTTAAATTTGAACTATATTTTAAATCACTACTTGCTTGTTTATTCCAATTTACTTTTTTATTCCAATTACTTCCAGAAAATTCATTTTTGTAGGTTGAATTGAAAATAAATTTATTTCCTTCAAATCGGTTACTTGACTATTATCAAATAAATATATTTATTTATATTATAAATATTAAAATATTATTTATAAATATTATTTCAGTTAAATAAAAGGCTATATTTGTTTCAAATACAAAAATTATTGGTTCAAATACAGTTTACTTAATTTAAATAAAAATTATTTGGTTCAAGTAAATATTTATTTAATTCAAGTAATTATTTAACAAGTAATCGATTATATTTGAATTAAATAAATTTTTTTCAGTACATAAATTAGGAATAATTTCCTACGGGAAAATAATTTGTTTGATTATTTCAAATAAAATTTTTTTCTACTATAATATTGAAAATTAGCTAAATGAGTATTAAAATTAATTTTTTGATAATTTTTTTCGGCGTGTAAAATTAATTTACAAGACTCATTAATTAGTAAATAAATTAAAGAGGCGAAAAAAAAGAAGATAATAAGAATATATTGTATTGGGGAAAAGGTGCAAAACACGTGTATTTCTTCTGCAGTGGCTAATTAAGAACAAACAATTCAAGATATAGAAGTATATATATATGTATACTTTCTACAATGTACTTTTGTATTTTCTCATGCATTAAAAGTGTGAAGCGAGAGATATTTGTTTCCGAATATGGACTATAATTTTTTTTTTTTTTTTGTTAAATTTTTCCAACAAAAAAAAAATGTTCTCGAATATATTTTGCAATCTCACACGGTTATCTGGTTTCCGGGCGTCGGCCTTCAACCACTGACCACGGCCGTTGAGCGGATGCGCTCTCATCACTATATAACATAAGTACCGCCGAAGAAAACCACCACCAACATCACAACCATTATAACCGCGAAAGAGCGACTAAAGTTTAATGAGCATCGACCAAGTAGTTCGACGAACCGCGTACTTGTAATATATGTACCCGCACGCAAACCCATTTTCTCTATCATAAATAAATAGGGGCAAAAACTGTAATTTCAAATAACAAAACTTCAAAATCGAAACTAAAAAAAAAAATTTCTTCCCTTTTAAGAAGGAAAAAAAATATTTTTTTCAATACATTTTTTTAATTATTTTGTTTTCACAGAAAATTAAAAGGCATTAAAATAAGCTGCAACGCTTCTTATTTTAATCCAATTTTGCTTATTTTAATACCAAAATGAATTAAAATAAGAAGCGTTGCAGCTTATTTTAATGCCTTTTAATTTTCTGTGTTATCAATTTTCTGAATTTGAATAATTTATTCATTAATTTAGTGAAAATCCAATTTTTAGTCGTTTTTCACTAAAATTTTAGTAAATACTAGTAAAAAAATTTACTAAAAATTACACTAATTGTAATTAGTGAACGAATTTAAATTTAGAGAATAGAAAAAAGCTAAATGAAAAAAAAATTCGAAAGTACAATTTAAAAGAAAGGTTATTTAAATGATTTTTCTAAACACTTTTGATTGGACAAGAAATTGCGACAAATGAGAGAAACTGAATTAAAAAAAAAAAAAAAAACAATATCTGCCATCATTAGTTTGATACAAAACAGAAAATACAGGAGAAACTTGGAGAATCAATGTTTATTCAAGATCAATATGGTATAGCAAGTTTTTTTTTATTTTGAGCGATTAGAAAAGAGCGTTGGAAAGTAGATCACTATAAAGAAATATAAAGAGCACATGAGATGGTATAAGCGATTGTTTATGTACCAAAACAAATACAAGAAAATATTCTCGAATTAAAAGAAATATTCCTCTAAATTTGTAATTTAATATTCCTGAATAAGATACAAAAAAAAAAAAAATAATTTTTATTTCCTTTCCAATTAAAATTTTTTCCTTTCTATTTATTTTATTCTTTCCTTTAATTTCTTATTCCTTTTTTTCTATAATGAAAAAAAAAGAAAAGTGTACGAAAATATTTTGTCCCATTTCCAAACAAAGTTCTTAATCCTAATAGATTTCTATTTGCATATTCTCAAAAAAAATTTTTTTCCTAATTAATTTTTGCCTAAAAACATTTTCTTAATTAATTAATTAATTTCCTAAAGTATTTTTTTCCGAACATAATTTTTCCTAATAGAATATATATGTATTTATATTTTAATGCGATCTGCAATTCCTTTTTATACAAAAAAAAAATTATATAAAAAATGTGTTTTTTATATACCTACATATAGATGATAATACACAATTTTTTTTTTGTAAGTATATATTATTTAAAATTCGTGTTCGCCGATTTGAATGTCCGCAGATACCATGTGATATGGGGTATTATATGAGGATCTTCCGACTCGCTTTCACTCAATTCTCTGGTATAATTATTTTCGTGGTCAGTGAGCGATTGACATTGCACGACATGTTGTTTCCTTAAGAGAAAGCTTTATATTATAGTACCAAAGAACTCGCACTTAAGTGAGATTTTGCAAATTAAGTATCTCGTATATGTAATTTTTTATATTTCCAAATTTACTTAATGTAAATATATATTTCCATTCTTTACCACAAATATTTCATTTATAATATTCAAGTATTTATTTAGTATTAAATTTATTTTAGTATTAAATATAATCATTTACATGTAATAAATAAATAATTTATTTATTAATAAATAATAATTATTATTAATAATAAAATAATTATAATATAATAATTATTTTCACGATAAGTAAATCCTAATATAAGAACCGTCTTTTCTCGAATTAACAGTTAAATAAATGAATTGAGAGCTCATTAAAATTGCCGCGCGGTATTATTTCCGAAGAAAATGTAGGAATATCATATATATATATATATGAAAAAAAATACGTTATGGATGTCAGAGGTTCAGTTGAACGATTTCCTTTAATTGAAAACGTGCATGACATAATAAGCGTTTTAATTACGTTGTAATATCTTATTAACATAGTAGGGTAATCGTCACGCCAACTAAACATAGATTATTATAGCAGAACAAAATCAGCTATGGAGTATCTAATTACTTCACTATTATAATAATAACAGAAATTTTCAGCAAAAATAACATCCCATGAAATTCTTTTTTATATACATAATATATACATATATATGAAATTACCATTTGAATGATTGATAAAATTCACTTTCCCCTCCCCAGTTGACATTGACATATTTTAATAATTACACATCATTAAAAAAAACTGTTTTGTTAAAATGAACAAAAAAGAGAAAATCATTATGTCTCACAAATAAAAATTTAATGTTGCAGAAAAAGAAATGATTCAAAAAAAAATATTTTTTTAAAAATATTTTTTTTTATACGAATTTTTAAATAACTAAATTTTTAGCTACCGAATTTTAATATTTGTCCGCATTTTTAACTGATAGAATTTTTAAGACGCTGAATTGTTATTTGTCCGAAATTACAAATATCCGAACAAATAATCGACAAAAAGATTTCGGCGCAATTTTTAAAATTGTCCAATTAGAAATTATTAAGAAAATCGTAATCTGGTAAAAAAATTTGCGAGCAATAAATAATTTTTTAGAAAGCAAACAAAATTTTTTTAATTGAACAATTTTTTTGTATAAAATGTAACAAAATGAATGGTTGTCACACAATAAAAAAAAATCATTAAAATTCGAATCATCAACAATGATACATTTTCTCCACGAGATAATTTTTACTGTTTCAGAAAATTCTATATACACAAACATCGAATGAGAAATCAAGATTTTCTCATTGTTAATTAAGAATCAGACAAAAATATGTTACGTCTAGTGTTAATGAAGAGATGATGACGAAAAGTAAAAGCGTTTAGAAATTCTAAATGAAAATAAAGAAATAACAAGTGAGAAAGTAAAAAAAAAATTCTCTAAAATTTTTGATATCATTATATAAATCTATCTACATGAAAGAGGAAACGCAAGTACCATCATTGGGACAAGGAGGTGCAAAAGAAGGAAATTATGTCAACGACTGAACGGGTGTTTCACCTAATATGACCCTGACAACAGTACTCAAAGCAACTCCTTCGCTTTGTAGCTCTTTTCAAACAAGATGCTTTGTTCTTTTTTTGTTGGCGAGTTTTTTGCCACCCTCAACTGCGAGAAACAATCCACCTCGGTTCCTCACCGATGGCCAAACGGAAATCATCCTCAGGCTCAAGGAAGGGCCAAAAACACCAGTTGGTGAGAATAATTTTATATATTTGTGCAAATTACTGCTCTTTTATATAAATATATATGCTTCACGCATTATTCTTTATTATTTTATTCTGTTTTCTCGTATACTGAAAAAAATTAAAATTTAATTTAAAAAAAAAAATTAATACTCGGTTACTTGGCTGTTATGCAAATAAATATTTACTTGAATCAAATAAATATTTATTTGCACCAAATAAATAGGTATGTACTTGATTCAAATAAATATCTCAAAGTTGATTTACACAAATTAATGTTAAATTTAATTTAAATTATTAAAAATTTTAATTTAATTGATAAATTGTTTGGTGCGCATTGCTTAGGAATCTTGTTAACGTCACTGACTCCCCCATTAAAAAATTTGTGATTAATTAAAAATAATTTATAAATACAATCAGTTTGAAATGTTTCCCTGTTTCCTCATATATTTTCCCCAATTATTCATTATCTAGTATGAAACACTTGCTTTTAGCCACTAAATCCAATACGACGCACTAATCACATTCAACGAATATTTTTACAGTTTTTCTATACAGGTTCATTTTGAGTAACGTGAAGTTGTCTATTAACTCATTTTGATGAAGATCTCATAATGAGATGCTGCAAAAATGAGTTCAGTTTTTTTCTGTGTACTTAAATCAAATAAATATTTGCCTAAATCAAATAAATATATTTACTTGAACTAAATAATTTTTATTTGAATTAAATAAATTGTATATGAACCAATAATTTCTGTATATGAAACAAATATACGTCGGTGATGTTCACAACGTTTACACCTAGAAAAATGGTATATTTGTCCCACAACCTAATAAATATTTATTTCATTTAAATAAAAAAATTTATTTACGCCAAATAAATGGACTAGAAGGTTCTGAGACAAATATACGTTTATTTAACTCAAATATATTATATTTGTTTCAAATAAATCATTTTTTGGGGTGAAGTATCCGATTATTTGAATCAAATAAATTTTTTTTCAGTGTATTATTTATTTATATTCTAATTATTTGTAATATTGTTTTTATTATCATTATTATTATTTACTTTTTAGGAAGCATAATACACCGATTAAGAGGAATAGACCCAGACGGAGACGAATTGATTTTTGGTATCAAAAATCAACCCGGTAGCGATGTTATAAGAGTAGAAAACTTCAATCCAAATGAAGCAAATATTTATCTGAATAAACCACTGGACAGAGAGGTAAAATTTTCATTTTAATCATAACAAAAAAAAAACTGTAGTTAGGATCAACAAAAAAAATTTAAAATTTTAAAAAAGTAAAGAGAAAAATGTCAAAAAAAATTTAGTTGTACACTGCCCTACAAGTGACAAGTAATTGCACTTACGTATGTTTTTCCTCTGTAAATCAGTAAAAATATCAAATATGAAACAAAATATTTTTCTCAATGTACAAAATAGTTTATTTTCATTAAATTGCATGAAATTTTTTAAAAAAATTTTTCTTTAATCCCTTAAAAAACAGGTGTCACGATATTTCTTATAAAGAAGATATTCTGTGAAAAGAAAAACATTGAATCCTTTTTGTCCATGAAACAGAGTAACTTTAAAAATTGTGGAATAATTGCGGCATGACTGTATATATATAATAGTTGATCGAGTTGATCGTTTCTCTATATTTACGAATTGCGCAAGCAAAAAAAAAAAAGAAAGAAAAAGAAGAAATGTTTTGTTCTTCTGTGAAGTTCGAGTTCGAAGCGGTAAATAAAAGACACTATCAAGGAAGTATTCTAGCGTAAAAGGCACCGCGTCCGTTCGGCTTCGTTTACGCATCACGAACTTTACGCTCAGTCAATCATTACACTCGCTGGCAATCAATTCGAACAATCGGTTTCATGCTAACACACCTAATGATATAACAATATAATATTCAGAAAGTCAATCATCTGCCAATAACTTCCTTCAAGAGGCTCAAATTTATAGATCAATGATTTATCGATCTATAGATCAATAATATCAGGATTTGAGACAATATTTTGTGGACTGATCCATAGATCAATAATAATATGATACACTTTTTGTGAACCAATAATATATGGATTAATGATCTATAAATCAATAATGTTAAAGATAAATTATTTATCGATCTATGAATCGATAATATTATAGGTAACTGATTTATCGATCTATGAATCAACCGTATGAGGATCTATGAGTTAATATTCTAGGAATGAATAATTTATAGGTCAATAATAGTATGATTCAGATCTATAAACCAATAATCAATGGATGATCAATAAACCAATAATGTTAAAGATAAATGATTTATCGATCTATAGATCAGCCGTATCAGGGAATGAGTCAAAAATTTAAATGGATTAATGATTTATAAATCAATGATTTATCGATCAACTGTATCAGGATCTATTACTTCATATATTTTATAGATCAATAGTTTATCGATTTATGGATCAACCGTATCAGGATCTGAGTCATTATTCAATGGATTAATGAAACAATAATCTAGATGATTGATGATCTATAAATCAATAATGGTATAGATCAATGATCTATCGATGTATGGATTAATTGTATCAAGATCTATTAGTCAATATTCTATAGATTAATGATCTATAGATCCATAATAATATGTATAAAGATACACGATCTATAAAACAATAATCCATGGATTAATGATCTATAAATCAATAATGTTGGATTTATCTAAAAATCATTAGATCTACAAAAATGTGAAGAACTAAAATGGAAAATATAATTTTTCTCATTGAATTTTATTTTTAAATAGATAATTCTTTTTTTTAAGCCAAAAATTACCGTTTTAAGTTAATTATTTTTTTTGTCCCAAATAGAAAATAGTAATTTGTACAATTAAAATTTATTTTCAAGCAGAAAAAGAAGTATTTTCAATCACAATTGTAAAATATAATTGGCAATGATTTCGTATTTAGTTGAATTTAACAAGACGAAAAATGAAAGTTATTGGCGGCAAAAGTATATATACAATTTAAAATTTAGAAAAAAAAGAAATTGAACATCTTTTGTCCTTCAATAATAGTGAATTAACTCAATGCTTGAATGCTTCACGACCTCGAAACTCGTAATTCTCAATTTAACGCTATTATTTTACTAGAAATTTTCAAGGTAAATTAAACACTGATTTCATATTATCGTAAAACAGCTAATCAACATATTCCATATTATTATCAGTTAGGTGAAAAATTGAAACAATACATTTGTCTTTTCTCGATAGTTAAGGATATATAAAAAAAAAATTCTATTCATATTTCCAACACTGTATTATCAAAAAAAATTTTTTTTATTAATTTCATAGAAACAAATCTTTATTTGAAACAGCGATATATATCATTAAAACAGCTAAAGTTTTCGCTGTTTAAGAGAAACATATCGCTATTTCAGATAAAGATTTTTTTCTATGAAATTAATAATTAATATTGAATAAAAATATTTTTTATTTATAAAAAATAAACAATTTCAGTTACAAGATGAGTATGCATTGATTTTGACATTAACCGATGGAAAATTAGGCGAAGGAAATTATATAACTCAAAGTCTTCTATTATTGGTGGAAGATATAAATGACAATGTACCAATTTTTCGTCCACATCCAACAACAATAACAATTAAGGAAAATTCATCACCCGGTGTATTAACAACTGTTGAGGCAATCGATGCAGATGAAGGTGCACATGGACAGGTTGTTTATTATATTCAAGAATTGGACGGTGACAATGATATGTTTACAATTACAACAGTCAATGGAAAAGGTGTCATTCGTTTAATTGGCTCTTTGGATTACGAAAGAAAATATCTTTATCAATTGCGAATACTTGCAATCGATCGGGCAATCAACGAAAAGGTAAAAAGAAAACAAAATTTGAAAATAAATTCTATTGAAATAAAATTATAAAAATTTTATAATCATTTTTTTTTTTAGGTAAATACAGGTACAACAGCAATTTTAGTGAAAGTTCAGGATGTAGAGGATCAACCCCCGGAATTTGTGGCAATGACTCCCGTTGCTAGAATCAGTGAAAATGTCAGAATTGGAACACCTGTTCTTCAAGGTATTCAATATAGAAAATAATTTTTAAATTAAGATTTAATTTTAAAAAAAAAACATTTTTCAATATCTAAGTTTTGAATCAAATAAACCTGACAGAAAAAATAAGGAAAACTTTTTTCATAAACAACAACAATAACAACAACGGCAATAGCAACAATAACATGAACAATAAAACTAAAAATAACAACAATAACATGAACAATAAAAATAACTATAACTATAAGATGATTGACGACAACAATAAAAATAATAACAATAATAACAACAACAACAACAATAATGACAACAATAATGACAAGAACATCAACAACATGAACAATAAAAATAACTATAACAACAACAGCAATAACAATATCAACAATAACATGAACAATAAAAATAACAATATAAATAACAACGCGACCAATAAAAATAACAATAACAACAACAGCGATAACAATAGCAACAATAACATGAACAATAAAAATAACAAAAACAATAACATAAACAATAACAATAAAAATAACAACAACAATAAAGATAATAACGCGATCAATAAAAATAATAACAACAACAGCAATAACATGAACAATAAAAATAACAATAACAACAATAATATGAACAATAAAAATAATAACACGATCAATAACAATAACAACAACAGCAATAACAATAGCAACAATAACCTGAACAATAAAAATAACAATATAAATAATAACGCGATCAATAAAAATAACAATAACAACAACAGCGATAACAATAGCAACAATAACATGAACAATAAAAATAACAAAAATAATAACATAAACAATAACAATAAAAATAACAACAACAATAAAGATAATAACGCGATCAATAAAAATAACAATAACAACAACAGCAATAACATGAACAATAAAAATAACAATAACAACAATAATATGAACAATAAAAATAATAACACGATCAATAACAATAACAACAACAGCAATAACAATAGCAACAATAACCTGAACAATAAAAATAACAATATAAATAATAACGCGATCAATAAAAATAACAATAACAACAACAGCAATAACAATAGCAACAATAACATGAACAATAAAAATAACAATAACAACAATAATATGAACAATAAAAATAATAACACGATCAATAACAATAACAACAACAGCAATAACAATAGCAACAATAACATGAACAATAAAAATAACAACAACAACAACAATATGAACAATAAAAATAACAAAAACAATAACATGATTGATAACAATAATAACAATAACATAAATAATAAAAATAACTAAAACAATAACAATAATAACAACAACAATAACATGAACAACAACAATACCAACAATAATAATAAAAATAATAATTATTTTTTTTATTATTATTTTTATTGTTATTATTTTTGTTATTATTATTATTATTATTATTGTTATTTATTTATTGTTATTATTTAATAAATATGATTTGAATTATTACAAGAAATAATAATTATTTTTTTTTTTTTGAAAAAAATAGTTCGTGCAATTGATGGTGACAAGGGTATAAATAACAAGATAAAATACAGCATCACTCAGGGTCCAAAACACTTGTTCGATATTGAGCCCACTTCTGGTTTAGTGTTCACGATAGCGCAATTGGACCGTGAGGCTGGTGATAATAGTGATGGTACATTTATCTTGGAAATTACTGTTAAAGAAATATCAAGTGTCGTTGTACCTGCTCCTTCAGTATCAACGGAAGTGACTGTTATTCTCACTGACATTAACGATGAAACACCAACATTTCGTAGTCAACGTTATATCGCCGAAATAAATGAAAATGCACCACAAAATACGCCAGTCAATTTTATTGGCGATGCCATTCCCGAAATTTATGATCACGACTTGGTGAGTTTTATATAGAGTTTTATATAATAATAATAATAATAATAATAATAATAATAATAATAATAATAATAATAATAATAATAATAATAACAATAATAATTTTTTTGCCTAAGTTCACTCCTTAAATCTCATTTATATAAAAAAATTTAATAAATTTTGTTATAATAATTATGATAGAGTCAAATAAATTTTATTTTTGCTACAAATAAATGCAAATAAAATATTTCTCTGGGTGTATTTTAATATAATAATTATTATAAATATAGTTGTATAAAAAATAAAATTTTTCTCCCGATTTGACATTAATAAATATATATATTATTTTTCAAATAAGAACTCGGTTAAGATATTATTATTTTAGGGGACGAATGGAACTTTTGGAATGTTCATCGATGGAGATAATGGAATTTTCGACATCACACCATCCCGTGGGATCAATGAAGCCGCATTCTTAATTCGTGTTAAAAATACTTCAAAATTAGATTTTGAAGAAAGAACTGGTGAATAAAAATTCATAACTAAATTCCACCTTTTTTGTAATTGTATTCTAATTATTAAAAAAAAAAAAAAAAATTTCAATAAAAAAAAGTATTTATAAAAATAATTTATTTTAATAAAAATTTATTTAAAAAATAATTTATTTTAATAAAAAAAAAAAAAAAAAAAAATTCCAGTTGTCAACTTTACATTAATTGCCAAAGAAATTGTAACGCCAGCCGCAAAATACAGTATTGTGCCAGTGACAATTTATATCAAGGATCAAAATGACAATTATCCCGAATTCACTCAAAATATTTATGAAGTAACAATACCGGAAAATTGTGAGATTGGTTCAACGCTAGCTTGGGTACAAGCATTGGATGCTGATAGTGGAAATTTTGGTACCCATGGAATTAGATACACAAATTTGGGTGGCAGCATTGCTCACGTGTTAGTTATCTATTTTAAAGAACTACATTTTTTTTATTTTATAATAATTGAAATTAATCGAAATTAATTGACACTAATTGAAATTAATCAAAAATTAATTAATTAATTAAATTTGAATCAAGTAGTTTTGAATTTTATTTAATTTTTCCCCACAATGTATTTTATTCCATTTTATTTTTCTCATTTATATTTCATTTTTTTTTTTAATTTTGAAAATTAAACATTTTTTTGTTTTTTAAATTTAAACTAATTTACCGGAATTAAAAAAAAATTAAATTAATTAAAATTTTTAAAAGACATTTATAATTTTATAATTTTTGCAGATTGTCTCTGAATCCTTTAAGTGGTGTAATTACAGTGAAAGAAAGTGGGTCAAGTTTCGATCGAGAATTAGTATCACGACATTATTTGACAGTTGAGGCACGCGACGATTTAGGAAGAGGAAATCGAAATACAGCACAATTAATTGTCAATATTCTCGATGTTAATGATAATGCACCTGTTTTTCTACAAACTAAATACGAAGTCGTACTACTAGAGAATGAAGAACAATTTGAATCACCATTAATTGTCGAGGCTTTTGACATTGATTTAAATGGTAAATTGTTATTATTATTATTATTTATTTTTCTATTTTTTTATTTTTCTTTTTTTTTATAGAAATTAATAAACAAAATTTTTTTTTTTCAGGAACAAGAAACAGTGAAGTTGTTTATTCAATTGTAAATAGCGAATATTCCCGTAATTTCACAATTGATCCAACGAGAGGAATAATTTCACCGTCAATGCCAATGGATTTTGAAAAATTACCCGCCAATAAAGGACAAATGGAAATAGCAATTCGTCCATTACGATTAACAATTAGAGCCAAAGATATGGGATCGCCGAGTTTAAGTTCGGATGTACCTGTTATTATTTATTTCAAGGATGTCAATGATAATGGACCAAATTTTGAGAGAGCTGTTTATAAAAAAAATATTCCTGAAAATGTACCCGGTGGCACTACTGTTTTACAGGTAAAAAAAAAAAACAAAAATTCGAATTATTATTATAATTTATAATTATAATTCGAATTTAAAATTCTAGCATACAGTTTTTAGTTTTAATGGTCAAAAAAAAAAAATGTCGGACAATAATTAAATTTTTACTGATTTGTAAATTAAATTTTTTTTTAAATTAATTGAATTAGAAAAAATTTGAAATAAATTTTCTGCAAGAAGTTTTTTTTTTAATTTCTGAAAATTCAATAGGATAAGTGTACCAATTACGGCGCGTTCATAAAAAATAACTATTATTACTATTATATTTAATATAAACTGTTGCCAAATGATTAAAAAAAAAATTATTTCAATCATTTTTTGTTACAATTACTTATAAAGATGCACATTTAAACAATTATTAATTTAATTATTTGAGATCAAATATTTTTTTTTATTGAAATTTTAGTCATTTCTAATGTTGAAAAATAATAATAATAATAATAATTGAATTTTTGAAGAATTATTGTTGAGATTTTTGGTAATAATTAAATTTCAAAAGATTTTATTAAATTTCAGATAATAATTAAATATTACAAGAATTGAAAATAATTTATCAAATAACTAATATAGATAACATTTAAAATTTAAATTTACAATTCAAATTTTTGAAAATAATTCAAGGGATTTTTTAATTAAAATTTTCATCGATTTTTGTTGCTGAAGATATTATTAGAAATTTACAGTTAAAAAATTTTAATTTCAAAATTTTGTTAATTGAAAAATATTTTCAGATTATTGAATTTTCAAAGCATTATAAAAATCATTAAAAAGTAATATTGAATTCGGAAAAAAGTTATAGCAGAAAATTTTAAAAATAATTGAACTTTAGATTTTTGAATTGAAATTTTGGAAAATAATTAAATTTGTAAAGAATTTCATTAAAAATTATTAAAAATAATTAATTTAGAAAGAATTAGAATTTAAAAGAAATTTTTTTTTCTTTTTTTGAAGGTAAAAGCCTGGGACAGAGATTTGTCATCACCAAATAATAAAATAGTCTATCGAATTCAAAGTGGAGCTGGTGACAAATTTGTCATTGGACCGGAAACTGGTATAATTAAAGTGGCATCCGGATCGAATTTAGATCCAGATTTAACGTCACCAAAAACTACACGATATATTTTAAATGTTGTTGCCATTGACAGTGGAACTGAAATTCAACGTACGGCCGATGTTGTTGTCAATATTTCCATTATTGATGTTAACAATAAATCGCCAACATTTATCGATCCAGGAACAGTAACAATTAGAGAAAATACTCAGGTGGGGTTAATTTTTTTTTTTCCTTTGAAAAAATCGAAATTTCTATTTCTAACTAAAATAAATAATAATAAAAAAAAATATTAAAAAAAAAATTGAAAAAAAAAATATTTTTAAAAAATATAGATTGGAGCGTATGTTCATCGAGTTGTAGCGAGCGATCCTGATATTGCACCGATTTTGCGGTATCGAATCGATCCCAATTCATCCGAGGCAAGAAACGAGGAAGGAACTCTGATTCGTGTTCAAGAATACGATTACCTGGCGGCTCTCGAGTTGAATGCCCTGGATGGGTTGCTTCGAGTGTTACGATTATTGGATAGAGAGAGGGTTGAGACCATAAAACTTGGTCTCGTTGTTGAAGATTTGGCGGCTGTAAATGGACCTCAAATTGCCTCTGGTAAATTATATTTATTTCGTGAGAAATTAAAGTTTAGTAAAAAAAGAAAATTCTTCAACAGCAAAGGAATTTCATTACGCGTTCTTAATGAAAAGTTTTGTACAAAACTTTTGAAACTTATTCAAACAAAAAAAAAAACAAAACTTTAAAGACACGACAAAACCTTTTAAATAAGTTTTTAAAATTAAAATAAAAAAAAAAATTTTAATAAGAATTTTTTTTTTAAATTAGTAATTTGACAAAAAAATTTTTTTTTTGACGAAAACTAAAATTTATTTTGAGAAAACAATAGAGAAATTTGAAGATCAATTTTTTTTTGTAATTTTTCAGCTACTTTGAATATTATAATTGAAGATGAGAATGACAATAATCCTCGATTTCGAAGACCGTTTTATAGAAGATCAGTGACGGAAAATAGTAAAAATGGAATGCATATTGCAAGTGTCGTTGCTTATGACGATGACAAAAATCGTACCATTAGTTATTCATTGGAAAGTCCGAGAGAATTAACAGAATTAGTTGATCTCGATTCAGAAACTGGTGAAATGATTGTTGCTAATAAAATTGACAGAGAACAATATTCTTGGTTGAATTTAACAGTTAGAGCCACTGATTCAGGCGTGCCACCAAGGTAAAAAAATAATTAATGTAAATTAATTAATTTCTATAATTTTATAATTTATAATTCAAAATTTATAATTTACATACTAAAAAAAAAATTATTTGGTTCAAATACTCGATTACTATTATCAAATTAAATATTTACTTGAATTAAATAAATTTTATCTAAACCAATAATTTCTATATTTGAAACAAATACCATTTTAAAATTGGTTCAAATAATACTTTTTAATAGAAATGAATATTTATTTTATAATAGTCAAGTAACAGATTATTTAAATAAAATAAATTTTTGTATTAAAAACACAATTCAAAAGTATGTTAAATTTTGAAAAATTAATTAACTAAATTTTGTTAATTTTACACTACTTTATAGTTTGTAGCGGCGTTAGGCCCTTTAAGCGTTTAACGCTCGGCTCGTTCAAGGTCACGAAACTTAAAATTGCTCTAAATCGAAAAAAATGCATTAAATTAAATTTTATAATTTATGATTACTTTTATAATTTAATAATTAATAATTTATGATTACTTTTATAATTTAATAATTAATAATTTATAATTATTTTTTATATTTTAATAATTAATAATTAGAAATTATTTTTTATAATTTTATAATTTGTTGTAATTAGATTTTTTTCTGCTCCAGATCGAGTTTGGCAGAAGTTTACATTCAAGTACTGGACGAAAATGATAATAATCCGTTTTTTATCGTTGAAATTCATAATGTGACGGTAATGGAAAATGCAAAAATCGGAACAGAAATTGCCATAATAATGGCGAGAGATGCTGACAGTGATGATTATGGTAAAATTACATATCTCCTAGATCGAACGTCTGCACAGGTAAATGAGCTAAATATTTCGAATTTTTTTTACAATTTGAATTTCAAAAAAATTATAAAAAATACAAAAGATACAAAAAATAAAAAAATATATATATAAAAAATTACAAAAAATAAAAATTACTTCCGTTAAAAAATATTTTTATAACATTAAAAAAAAAAAAAAAAAAAGAAAACTTGATTGGAAAATTAGAAAAATTGTACTATTTTCTTTTTTTTTTTAGGGAAAGTTTGCCATTCATCCGGAAACTGGCTCCTTGACCGTTGCAGATTCGCTTGACTGGGAAACAAAGAGTAATTATGTTCTTGTAGTTGAGGCTTGGGACAATTATCAATTTGGATACACGGCAGGAGAATCAAGAAATGCTTTCAAGCAAATCGAGTAAGTTCCGGTGTATTTGCTTCTTATACATATGATTTGTATTTACTGTCAAATTTTCCTTTTTTTTTTAAATTTAAATTAAAATTCTTAACTGTCTATAGAGCTATTAAAATAATTAAACTTCCATAATAAATTTTAATAATTAATTTTAATTTAATAATTTAATAATAATAATATTCAATAATAATAAATTAATTAAATTTAATTAAATATTAATTAGTCAGCAATTAAAATTATTTTCAGTCAACCATGATTCCCTTCTACACTGAAAAAAATTTATTTGATTCAAATACTCGATTACTTGACTATTATCAAATAAATATTTATTTTTATCAAATAATTATTATTTGAATCAATAAAATGGTATTTATTTCAAATACAGAAATTATTGGTTCAAATAAAATTTATTTAATTCAATTAAAAATTATTTGGTTCAAGTAAATATTTATTTGATAATAGTAATCGAGTATTTGAATCAAATAAATTTTGTTTTTCAGTCTATATTGTTAAATTGAATTTAATTTCAATTTGTAAAATTATTATTAATATATTTTTTTTTTAATATTTCCACAGAGTAATTGTAATTGACGTTAATGATAATGCGCCAAAAATTGAAATACCAAAGGAGTGCATAACTATTTCTGAATTTCATGATATTCGAGAAAATGTGGCAGTAATTAAAGTAAAGGATGTGGACAATCCATTGACACCAAATGGACGAGTCACAATAAAAATACTCAGTGGAAATGAAATGGGTACGACAAAAAAAAAAAATTTTATTTCCCTAGGAAAAAAAACCTAAAAAAAAACTCAATAGCAAATTCAAAAAAAAAAAAATCCTAAGAAAATTTTTTTTTTTTTTTTTACACATTTAGGTTTCTTTCTACTGGAGCAAATCGATTATTGGACAGCAAGAATAAAAGCAACAAAATCATTGAGAGGGAAATTTGGAAATTATTCATTGTATCTTGATGCCAGTGACCTTGGAACTCCAGCTAAATCGGACAATGCCGTTTTGAATATTTGTGTTACTGATTATAATGACAATCCACCGATTTTTATCAGTCCCCAACATAATACAACAATACGAGTTCCGGAGGTGAAGGCTAATTATAATAAAAAAAAAAAAAAAAATACTTTCTCATTATGATAAGAATGTAAAAATTAAAAATAAACTGAGAAATTAAAATAATTTTTCAATTTCTATTTAATAAAATTAAAAATTTGTTTTTTTATTTCTAGAACATAACAGTGGGTTCAGCGATTATTCAAGTTGAAGCACAAGACGCTGATACAGGACCAAATGGAGATGTTCATTTTCGATTAAAACAGGACTTGGCAGGTCACTGGCGTACTTTTCAAATTGATGAAATATCCGGTCTTGTCACACTAAATCTTCCCTTAGATCGAGAAATACAAAAATTATACGAAGTAATTTACTTTTTTTTTTTTGTTCATAAATAATTTAAATTTTCCCAAGCGTTATAAAAAATTTTTTAAAACATTTTTGTATTCTTTACACGATAATTGAATATAAAAATAATTTTAATTTTTTAATCTACTATTTTTTTATTTTCTTATTGATTTTTATCATTATCATCAATTTTGCAGATTCGAATTGAAGCTTACGACATGGGAAAACCAACACCGTTGAGTTCTGATCTTGATTTAATAATTTATGTACGAAATATAAATGATTATGAGCCACAATTTTTAGTGGATATTTGTAAATTAAACTTTACTGAAGAAAAATTACCAGGAATTGAAAAAATTATTCTACCCGAGACAATTGATAGGGATGAGGTTGATGATCTTGACGATCCACCAACACAAGTTTGCTACTATATTGTGGCTGGGAATGATGATGGTCTTTTTTATCTTGACAATAAAACTCACGAGTTAACTGTAAGTTAAATTAAATTTACTTTCATTTTTTTTTCAGCAAAAAAAAAAACCACGAATTTTGTTGAATTTTTGAAATTGAATTTTTTTTGATAATTGTTTTCAGATTTTGAAATCATTGGATAGAGAAAAAGAAGAAGAACATGTGCTTTTGATAAAAGCAACCGAGGATTGTAGTAACGCTCCTCCAAATGAGAATTATTTCAATAATAGTGATGATACACTATTGAAAGTCATTGTTACTGTATCCGATATTAATGACAATCCACCGACATTTATCAATAAAGTTTTTACCGGTGGCGTGACAACAGAAGCTGATTTTGGAACACAATTCATGACTATTAAAGTAATTTGAATGATTCCATTTTTTTTTGATAAAAAATAATACGATCTAAATTTAATATTAATTTTGAAAGGTTTTCATTTTTTTTCTTTTTTTTAATTCTTTTATTTCTTTTTTTTGATTAATTTCAACTAATTTAACTAATTTTTTAAACTAAGAATGGTATATTTAATGATTATAAACATTTATCCAGGCAATCGATTTGGATATGGAGGAAAATGCAAATGTCAATTATTATCAAATTGGAAAAATTCAAATGACTCTCACAGAAGGATTGGATGATATAAGAATTCAACCATTTTTGGTGGATAGAGTTACCGGTGCGGTTAGTTTAAATTTTGATCCACAACGAGGAATGAAAGGATATTTTGATTTTATGGTTTGTTTAAACATATTTTTCATAAATATAAGTGAGAATATTTAATTATTTTTCGAAAATTTCAATTAAAGACTTAAATTACCTTAAAAAAAAACTAAAACTAATTTAACTAAATTGAATTAACTAAAAACTAAATTAACTAAAATTAAATTTTAGAAATATTTAATTTCTAAAATTTTCCATCAAAAATTTTCTAAAATTTAATAATTTCAACTATATAATATTCTACCGAAATTAAATTATTTTTAATGATTTTTATAATATTCTTCAAAAATTTAATAATCTGAAAGAGCATTTTTCAATTAAAAAAATTTTTAATTTGCAATTTTTTTTTTTGCCTGTAATTTCTAATAAATTCTTCAGCAACAGAAATCACCGAAAATTTTATTCAAAAATCACTTGAAATTCAATTACATTCATAAATCTGAAAATTGTAAATTTTTAAAAATTAAATTTCTTTTAAAAAAAATGTTATCTAAAATGATTTGACAAATTATTTTCAATTTTGTAAAATTTAATATTGTCTGAAATTTAAAAAAAATCTTTTGAAATTAAATTATTTCTAAAAATTTCAACTTATAATTCTTCCGAAATTCAATTATTTTCAATAATTATAATATTTCATTAAAAATTCAACAATTTAAAAAAAGTTTTAAATAAAAACCCTAAAATTGAATTATTTTCAGAAATTAAAAAAAAAAAAATTACCGCAGTTTAAATTTGCAGAAAATTTATTTCAAATTTAAAATCTTCTGCAATTCAATTATTTTTAAAAAATGTAATTTAAAAATTTGTGAAATTTAATGTCCGAATTTTTTTTTTTTTTTTAATCAAAATTTCAATAAATTCCTAAAAATCAGAGTTCAAAAAATTATAAAAATGAAACTTTAAGAATTTTTTAGGTCCATTAACCTCTAACCTCTTATGTACAAATAAAAAGTTTTAAAGTATTTGGTGCGCATTGCTTTCCTATAACATGCATATTGCAGAGTTGGCATTTATCATTTAGTACAAATAAAAAGTTTTTAAGTATTTAGTGCGTATTGCTTTTACATAAAATTTTACAGAGTTGGCATTCATCATTTAGTACAAATAATAAGTTTTAAAGTATTTGGTGCGCATTGGTTTCCTATAATATGTATATTACAAAGTTGGCATTCATCATTTAGTAGTAATAAGTGAATTTTAAAGTATTTGGTGCGCATTGCTTATATATTTGATGCGCATTGCTTTCCTATAATATGCATATTGCAGAGTTGGCATTTATCATTTATGTACAAATAAAAAGTTTTAAAGTATTTAGTGCGTATTGCTTTCCTATAATATGCATATTGCAGAGTTGGCATTTATCATTTATGTACAATTCCTAAAAATCAGAGTTCAAAACATTATAAAAATGAAACTTACGGAATTTTTTAGGTCCATTAACCTCTAACCTAGTAATATAATTAAATTCTGTTAATAAAAATAAAATTACAAAAATTATATTTTTGTAATTTTTACAGGTATTGGCAAATGATACAGATGGACTTCAAGACACTGCACGAGTATTTATTTATTTGCTTCGTGAAGATCAAAGAGTGAGATTCGTTTTGAGACAACATCCACCGGAAGTTAGAAATCGAATCGAAAATTTCCGAGGGTAAATTTATTTAACTCGAAAATAAAATTTATTTCGTTCAAATAATCTATTGGCTATTAACAAATAAATATATTTATTTAGACCAAATAATTTTTATTTGAGTCAAATAAACTATTCGAATCAATAATTTTTGTATTTAAAATGAATAACTTTTAATTGACCCAAATAATAATTATTTGATACAATTAAATAATTATTTGATAAAAATAAATAATTATTTGATGCAAATAAATATTTATTTGATACAAAAAATGTACTTGATACAAATAAATATTTACTTGATACATTAAAAAAAATATATATATTAAATTTAAATAAATACAGTAGAAAAAGACATATTTTTCAATTTTGGGAAAACGTATTAAAATGTGAAATATTGATTATTAAAATTTTTATTAAAGTTCGCAAATATTTACTACGATTTGAAAAACATTTATTAAAACTGAAATATATTTTGTACTTTTCATAACAATATTTTCTATTTTGACATTCTTTACCCTAAATTGAAAAATATTTACTAAAATTTCTACTATAATTATTAAAATTTAATATATATTTTCCTTCAGTATAATAATCAAACAACCGATTATTTGAGAATCAAATAAATTTTTTCCAATGATAATAATCGTTTATTCGAGTATTATCTCAAATGAAAAAAAAAATTTATTTATAAACATTGAAAAAAAAAAAAAATTCTTTCAGCATTCTGGGAAATGTAACCGGTGCAATTGTGAATGTGGACGAATACAAAATCCATGAAAATCAAGATGGATCAGTCGACAGAACAAGAACTGATTTATACCTCCATTTAGTGAATCGGCAGGACAATTCAATTTTGGAAGTGTCAGAGGTTTTGGAATTGATAGATCGTAACATTGAAAAATTGGACGATCTGTTTAAAGATTTCAATGTTCTTGATACACAAGCGGCACAGGCACAGCCAATCATTCAATATGAACAAGCTGGCACCACTTTTTGGTTATTAGCGATAACTCTCTTTTTGGGGGCACTTTTGATACTTTGCATTGCACTTTGCCTCTCTCAAAGGGCATCGTTTCAACGTAAACTCAAAGCTGCCAATGCCACTCCATTTGGTGATTAAATTAAAAATATATGCATTTCTAAATTTGAATTAGTAAAAAAAATTTTTTTTTTAACTAATTTCGATTGTTTTCAATAAATAGGTGCAACAGACTCGGAATTTATAAGAGGGCCCGGTAGAGTTCCTAATACAAATAAACACAGTGTTGAGGGTTCAAATCCAATATGGATGCACGCTTATGAGAACGAATGGTTCAAAAGTGACGAGTCATTCAGGTAAAGATGAACATTTTTTTTTATTAAGAAATGTTTAATTATTTTAAATTAATTTCTCAAATAATTTTACACAATTCTAAAGTAGGTGAAATTTTGAAAAATTAATTAAAATTAAATTTTGTTAATTTTACACTACTTTATAGTTTGTAGCGACGTTAGGCCATTAAAGCGTTTAACGCTCGGCTCGTTCAAGGTCACGAAACTTAAAATTGCCGGAAATCGAAAAAAATGCATTAAATTTAATTTCTCCAAAAGACATTTTCCATTAGATTTTCGAAAAGAATAACAAAAAAATAAATTGGAATTTCTTTTATTAAAATTTAAAAAAGTTTTATCAAGATTTTTTGGTTTCTATTACCACTTTCACTTTTCCTAATTTGGTACCGAATTTCTGTTTGGCAGAATTTTTAGTTTACAAAATTACAATTTACCCAACTTCATATAATAAAAAATTCTAATTTAACTAAACATATTAACTTAGTGGAATTTTTATTCAACAAAATTTTAAATGATTCAAACTTTTAAATGTCAGAATTTCGAATTCAGAAAATCTTCATTTCTCCAAATCTTTATTTGCACAAATTGTTATTTAATATAGAATACTTAAAACCCCGAATTTCCATTAGTACGAAATTATAATTTGTCGAACAAAAAAAAAAAAACGGACAGAAAGATTTCGGCACAAAATTAAAAAAAGTGGAAATAGGAATTGAAATTAAAATAGCTGAAATAGAAATTAGAAAAACTGGTTACTTGACTATTATCAAATAAATAATTAATTGAACCAAATAAATATTTGAATCAAGTTGAATAAAATAAATATTTACTTGAATCAAAAAAATATTTACTTGAAAAAATAATTTTTATATGAATTAAATGAAATGTATTTGAACTAATAAGATCTGTATTTGAAACAAATACCATTTAAAATTCGCTCAAATAATAATTTTAATACAAATAAAAATATTTATTTTATAATAGTCAAGTAACAGATTATTCAAATAAAATAATTTTTTATTTTTTAAGTATGTAAGAATTTTTTTACTGTGTAAAATTTTGAAAAATTAATTAAAATTAAATTTTGTTAATTTTACACTACTTTATAGTTTGTAGCGACGTTAGGCCCTTTAAGCGTTTAACGCTCGGCTCGTTCAAGGTCATGAAACTTAAAATTCCTCTAAAATGAAAACAACGCATTAAATTAAATTTCTTCAAAAGACATTTTCCATCAGATTTTCAACAAGAAGTTTAAATTTAATTAATTTAATTTAATTATTTATAGTCACGGATCTGAAAGAGATTCTTTAGATGAAAATGCTTTAAACAATGAAGAAATTATAAACGAAAGTAATACCAATGATAGACCAACTGAAGATAAACCTTATTATATTCAACCGAGAGTCGCTTCTATATCGAGGTTAGTTTCAAATTTTTGTTCCATTTAATAATTTTTTTTTTTATATAGTTATTATAATAATAAATTAAATTTATTTTTTAGTAGTATGGAAGGTAGCACGGACGAAGGAAATGAATCGCCAATTTCACGAAGTCAACAAGTAACGAATAATCCTTTAGGCAAAAAGATTGAAACAACTGAACTTTGAGCCATTTACTATATAATATAAAGAAAACTCATTTGTAAATAATATCATTTATTCAATGAACCTTTTAAATTAATTTCAATTTTTACTTTTTCATATCATTAAAAACATAAAAAAACGGTTTTTTTTTCAAATACAGAAATTATTGATTCAAATACAATTTATTTATTAAAAAAAAATTATTTCGTTCAAATAAATATTTATTTTTATCAAATATAATTATTATTTGAGTCAATTGAATTGTATTTGTTTCAAAGTAAAGAAATTATTGATTCAAATAAATTTTAATTATTTCAAATAAAAATTATTTTGTTCAAAGGAAATATTTATTCAATAGTGATGTAACTGATTATTTGAATCAAATAAAATTTTTTCAAGTTTAATTAAATAAAATTTCTTTTGTTGGATAAAAAAAATTTCCTCCTTTGAAAAGTTAAATATTTCATTGAAAAATTAAAATAATAACAATTCAGAATTTTTCTGTATTGGAATTTTAATAAAATGTAAATTTTTTTATTTAAATCAAATAAAAATTTATTTGAATCAAATAAATATTTATTTGGCTTTGAGACAAATATTTAATTTCTCTGGGTGGAATTATTATTTTTAATATTATAATTAATTTTATAAAAAAGGTTCATTAGGATCGATTAAGAAAAAAAATTCACTAATTTCAATTATGTAAATAATATCTTCATTTTTTTAAATTATAAAATTAATTAACTGGTATATCTATACAGTAATTATATTAAGAAACTTTTGCCAGAAATCGCATCGAACTTGTGAATAAGATTTTTATATTATCATTTTTGTAATTATTTTATAGGCAATTCTTCTAAATAAATATAGTCAATAAATAAATAAGGAGATATTTAAAAAAAAAATTATTAATAACATCCTAAAAAAAAATTAAATCCTTATATACTTTTTTACATATTTATAAAATCGACTCTATATAATAAATATATATATATATATATATATGTATATTATAAGAGTAGAATGACCCTCAATGACCCTAGATTATACGGGTATAGAAGCGTGTAAATAATTGCACAAATTATCATATTTATTGAAACTTATCATATAATTATAATCAAATCCAGCAGAATTTTCCCAAAATTAAATGAATAATTTCTGAAATTTATATAATTATTATTTTTAAGTGATGTCGAATATTTATTAACTTTTTTTTTAATAATTCAATTTTTTTTCAACGAAACAGAGACTAATTATTTGTAACTTATAAATATTTATATTATAAAAATTATGATTTACGTGATGAAAATTTCCGGAAAATTAATTAGAAATATATATGTCACAACGTTGGAAAAATATATAATGCAAAAAAAATATATTTTTTTTAACAAATCTGATTATATGTGGTCGCGTGATTATTAGCACTTTATATCAAGTGGAAGAACAGTGGATAGTACAAAAGTTTAAGTGGCATTTAAAACATTTTTTCTTCAGAGCAAAAATTCAAATTTTCATATACGATTATTTCATTTTTATTATAATATTTTAAATAATTTTTTATTTTTAAACTGTAACTATATATAATATAAGAAGACTGTATATATATTAGACATTATATTAGATTATAATATAATATAATATAATATATATAATATTGAAAATATAAAAAAAGTTAATTGAAAATTATTCGCATCATGTTTTCTATTTTTTTTTTTAATGATAAAACAGAAACTATATTTAACATTATAACGTTTGCAAAACACGCTATCCACTAATTATAATACAATTCATATGTATAAAGCTTTAATTCACCTTGTCTAGAAAGGCGATGGAGGCTGAATCTAATTAAAATGAATCGTGCTCCTTTTTCTATATATATATAAATAATTTTTATTTTAAGAAAAATTTAATTTTTAAGAATTAGAAATTTTTTTACTTCAATAACTGACTTTTACTATATTTTCAGTAGTCTTACCAGTGTTAGTAGTGGAAATTAATTTTTATGTCAGACAATTTTAAATTTCTCAAAAATTTAGTATTTTGTTATTTATTTATTTATAGTATTTAGATTTTGATCAATAAGAAAGATTAATAAAAATTTTTCCAATTCCTGTCTGTAAGTAGTAAGAGACAGTTTCAGTCAGACATGAGTATATTTCGAATCGGATTTTTCATCAGACATTTTAAATTTCTAAAAAAAATTTAGTAGCAAATATTTAAAAAAAAAACGGTTTTAGTCAATAAAAACGTCTAATTCTTCTAATTCCTGTTTACAATTAGTAAAAGTTAGTTTCAGTCAGACATATTATAGTACATATCCTAAAAATACTTTTTTTTCAGACATTTTAAATTCCTAAAAATTAAATGTCAATTTAGAAATAAAATGTCAATAAAAACGTTTAAAATTCTTCTAATTCTTAACTATAAGTAGTAAGAGTCCGTTTCAGTCAGACACTAAGAATATTTCGTAACGGAATTGTTTTGGCGGAAATTTTAAATTGCTGAAAAAATTATAGTACCAATATGTAAAAAAAAAATAGTTTTCGTCAATAAGAATGTTTATTTTATCTACTTCCTGATCGTGAGTAGTAAGAGTCAGTTTAAGTCAGACATATTGCTAGTATATTTCATATCAGCATTTTTTTTTTATTAGGAATTTCAATTTCCTACTCTCTAAATCTAAATTAGTAAAAATGTTTACTAATTTGAATTAGTGACTCACTTTTTGCTTTAGAATTAGTTAAATTTTACTAATTGTTATTAAAAGTTACTAATAATTAGTAAAATTTTACTAATTCAGAAGCAAAAAGTGAGTCACTAATTCAAATTAGTAAACATTTTTACTAATTCAGATTTAGAGAGTAAAAAAATATGATCAATATTTTAAAAATAGTTTTAGTCAATAAAAAATATTTAAAAATTTTCTAATTCCTGTCAATAAGTAGTAAGAGTCAGTTTCAGTCAGCCAAACTACTATTAGTATATTTCGTATCAGAATATGTTTTTCCTAATTTTTTAAAAAAAATTACTACATTAGTAAGGGTAAGTTTCAGTCATCCAAAAAATTAATTTCTCTAATTTCTATTCCATTTCCACTTCCACTATTTAAAAATTCCATTTTTCTTTTCCATTTCCATATATTTTCCAATTGACGGAACAAAAAAAGGAACAGAAAGATTTCGGCGTGAATTTTAAAAATGATGAAGTGGAAATTAGAAAAAATTAAAATGAAAATGGAAAAGGAAATTGGAAAAGTGGAAAATGGAAATGTTAATTTAAAAACGTGCAAATAAGAGTGAAAATTGAAAAATTGGAAATAGAAGTTAGAAAAAGTGGAAATAAAAAATGGAAATTAGATAAAAAAAAAAATGAAAGTGAGAATAAAAATGGGAATGGAAAAATTAGAAGTAGGAAATGAGAATTGAAAAATGTGGAAGTGGAAAATGTGAAAATGGAAATTAGAAAAAGTGAAAGTAGAAGTTGGAAATTTAAAAAAATAGAAGTGGAAATTAGAAAAATCGAAAGTGGAAATGGAAGTGGAAATTAAAAAAATTGAAATATTAAAAAAAAAGTGGAAACGAAATAAGGAATCGATTTTAGAAAAAGTGGAAATGGAAAAGTGGAAATTAGAAAAAGGAATAGAAGTGGAAAGAAGATATTGGACAAAGTAGAAATAGAAATTAGAAATAAAATCGAAAAAGTGGAAGTGGATTTCCATAATCGATCCCTAGGGGTAAAAAAAACGTTTTAATCAAACTGAACAAGTCTATTAATTTCTACTATACAGTACAGTAGAAATTAGTCTTTTCAAATCCCAAAAAAATATTTTTCCTAATAAAATTAAATAATAAATGCAAAAAAAAACAAAGAATCATAATACATTTGGAAAAAAAAGAAACTCACTCCTACAAAGATGCGATGAGTTTTGAACGATTGAAACAATAAGGATACGCGTGGGGGGAATAAATTAGAATTCTTTCGGTTTGCAAGGGTATATATTAGTAGGGTTTGAAAGGAGATAGGATCGATGACCGCAGGGGTTGAAAGTGGAGGCCCTTAAAGTGACCCGCAGCCAGTAACGCAATACGCGTTCAGGTGTATATATATATATATATATATATATATAGAATGAGAGGGGTTGAAGAAAGTCAAGGAGGCCAAGACGGAGGATGAGAGAGGGGGGCTACTACCACAACCACTTCTTCTACCTTATCGCCTTCCTGAACGTCAGCCTCGCGTGCAACCTCATGCTAATGTAAGGAAACTGTAACCCGCTGGTCAGCCGTCTACTATATCCCCCAGGGCGTTTTCATATATATTTAGTTCTGCTTATTTTTTTTCCAAATACCAAAAAATCAATTTTTTTTTTGACGAATCATTTCTTTAAAAAAAAATTTTCAATAAAAATTTACGAAAAGAAAAATTCCAAATTTTACTTATTATAGCAAAAAAAAAATTTCTTTACTCATTGGCAAAAACAAATATTTAAAATAATTTTACTCATTAAAATTTGTAAAATAAGAACAAATATCAATTTTTTTATCAAAAAAAAAAAAAAAATTGTTTAAACTCACCATTTGTTGATTCACCATAAAACAAATTCACTGTGTACCTGAAACAAAAATATAATTTCATATAATAAATAAAATTGTTAATTATATGAAAAAAAATGTAATTTTTATATGTAGAAGAATAAATTGAATATTATATTTAAAATTAATGAATTTAATTTGCAAAAAAGAAATACAAAAAAAAGAATGTCAACACTACGTTATCTTTACTTTATGATCCTTGCACTTGATTATTGACATAATAATGTGTACAAACGGTTGCGGTTTATGACTCAGACTGTATAATTTGAGGGATTACTTTTGCATATATATACAAAACACTAATCGAAAAGGGCAGACCCTTAATCAAAAGTTGCGTGATCACTGCGTGAAGAACATTTAGAAAATTAGTGTTGAAAACACTGTTCGCGATTTTTTTTTTTAAGCTCATAATACTTTAGTATTTTATTTTTGCAATAATAATAAATAATAATTTTAAAAATTAAATAATAATAACAAAAATTAATAATAATAATAATAATAATAACAAAATAATAACAAACGTAACAAAAAAATAATAATAACAATAGTAACAAAAAAATAATAACAAAATAATAACAATAGTAACAGAATAGAAACAGTAATAACAAAAAAAAATAAAATCAAAATAATAGTAACAAAATACTAATAGTAATAACGAAATAATAATAATAGTAACAGAATAATAATAGTAATATCAAAGTAATAAAAAAGCTATTTAGTATTAATAACAATATATTAAAAAAATGCTACTATTTTTTTACTACCATTAATTATTAGA